GGCACGATGGGTCAAAGTCAGGGGATGGGAGGGGCGGAGGACCTTTGCACCAGCACGAAGCTGTCACGATGGAGGAGCTGAGGCTGGAAGCACTCCTGCTCCTTCGCCCCCAGTGCTGTAATAGAGTGCCCTGTTGGCCCACAGCAAGGCTCACTGTGGATAGTGAGGGTAGGCAAGAGGCTTAGATGTGCCTAGAAGCTGTTCAGGGTCATATTCACTCCTCTGAAGGCAGAAGGAAAGGGACAAGAGAAAGGACAGACGGGGGAATGGGAGACAAACCAAATGGTTTCATTTTAATGTATCTAAGTCTTAAAAAATCATCACTGCCCGGTGCTCTGGGATGAGGCGTGGTCTTTCTTCTCTGTATGTGAATTGGGGATGGGTAAAACATTACCTCAGGCCAGAAGGCAGCACAAGAGCTAGGCTCCATGCTAGGGTCTGTCAGGTCCAGACCCTTTCTCTCTACCCTTGTGCTGGTTTTTGTTAGGCTGCTCACCAGTTGCTAGGGTTTTTTTTTTTTTTTKTTTTGCTTCAATCATTTTCACTGATGAGAGCATCTGCTGCCATCTGTGCCTCCCTCTCCTCCCCCCAGCAGGGCTGTGCACCACCATGGTCTGCCTGCAGAGCCAGGCACTCTTCACTGTCCAACCTGCACACGGAGGAGGGGATGGAGAGGAGGGATGAGGCAGCTCCATCAGCGCCCTGCTCTTCCCCCGTGTCTGCTGACTGTGTCTGGGTGCTGCTGCAATTGTGCCCCTCACAGGACACCCACAGTGCTAAGGTCCCAGCATCCGATGGCTCTGAGCGAGGCTGAAGTTCCTCCTCCGAAAAGCCATCAAGCCATGAGACAGTGCTGGAGGGGAAACCAGAGATGAAATCTTGAGTAAGGTCACCCAGGACATCAGCACACGGTTGGCAGGGGAGGTGAGGTTGCTGATTGCCGGCAGTGTGACTGGCTCCTGGCCCATGGAATGCCTGGGGAGCAGGGCTGTGATGCTGCAGTGTAGCTGGCTGTGGCTGGTGGGTTACACTCCCCACARCAGAACAGAGGTTGCCATTTTCGGCTCTCTGTGATTGTTAATTTGGGTATCCAGGCTGAGGGCTGCTCCAGGCCTGACTCACCACGCTCTGCCTGCAGAGCTCATCCCAGGCAGGGGAACCAGTGCATGTCAACACTGGGCCGGGAGGTCCTGAATGAGCTCCRTCTCACATTTGTTATGTCAGCCGATAGATAAAGGCGAATTGCGTTTACCGACCAAACCCAAACCAGTTCGCCCCAGCTCGCACTCGATGCGCTGCTGTCTGCAAACTGGCTCGGTGGCATTTGCGCAGAGGTGGCATCCCCGAGCGCTGCGTGGCGGCGGGGACAGAGGCTCGGGTGAGCGCTGAGACTTGCGTAAGCACCCAGGGTTTGCTCGCACGCACTACCTGGCTCCCAGCCAGCTTAGCCTGCCAGCGTGGAGGGCAGAGGTGCACCGGTGCCCTCGCCTGACGCGCGTCCCGGCTGGCACGGAGTGGCACATCCCCGCGGAGGGCTGGGGACCCGCTCCTGGCTGGTTTTAGGAGCCACCCTCACCTCACAACTGCTTCTTGCCCAAGCCCTGTGTAGGGGTCTGATCTCGCCGGCGCTGGGGCCTGGGGCGGGGAGTGTCGGGGAAGGGAAGCGCGGACAGCGCTGCGCTCCGACCCGCCCAGTGCCCGCGGCGATGGACGGTGCGCTGCCGGCTGCGGTGCAGCGGGGAGAGGGGGCCCTCTGCCTGCCTCCCGCTGCCTGGCAGCTCCAGCTCGGCTCCGACACCCCGCTCCCTGCCGCCGTCACCTCCTCCTGGGTGCTGGCGCTGCCCTCAGGGTCCCCTCGCAGCCATTTCATCGCGGGGCTGAATGAACTCCGTCCCGCAGCATCTCCTCCCCGGACGAGGGTRCTCCTCACAGCCTCGCTGGCCTTTCCCCCGGCTCATCCCAAAGGCTTTTCGGGGCACAAAACTAGCGCAGGTGCTTTAGRCACAATTGCATGATGTCGCCTAACAGGGTACAATCTCTCCCCAAGAGCTAAACAAAATGCAAAAAGMAATTCTCATCGAGCTGTCAGGCTCAGTTTCCCGAAGGAATACAATTAAATCTTTAAATGGCAACGYGACCGTCAGTTCTTCCCCTTCTCAAAAGATGCTTCTCAAGCTGCGTTCGGCTGTTCCTCCCTTCCACCCCCTCCTCACAGTTTTCCTTCCCGCCGCGGAGTGCAACAGAGGCTGCGGCTTCGCAGCCAAAAAAAAAGTGCGATTTGGAGAGCGCGGCGCGACGYTGTGAGTGGCAGAAGTGAAAAGGCAGAGAAGCAACTCTTGAAAGCCTGCCTTCTGCCGCGGCGAGCGTCAGCTTTGGCAAAACCTGAACTTCCAGAATTTTCTCGCCAATTAAAAAAAAAAAAAATCAATTAGAGGACCTGTCGGATTTGGCTGCTGCTTTTCTTTCACTTGCTCTCTCAAAATGAAGAAAAGTTCTTTCTTTCACTTAACAGCACAGTCGGTGCAATCTGGGATGTACTTCCCTGACAGTATATGGGGATGGAGTTTTGCTGTCTCAGTTTGGGGTTCCCTGACACTGACAAGATGAAAAACGAATGTGGAATACCTTGATGCTGCTGCACTTGGAAGACCCATGCATGAATAAATTATTTTTTTCCTCTTAAACAAGCTTGGTCCCCCTTAKTTCCCCCATTTTGGGAGTGCTTTCCTCCTGCCATGGGTTTGGAGGGATTCTATTAAAATGAAGGGGAGAGGAAGGGAGAGTGCAGGGACTTTGCTGCCCTCCAGCCCAGAGGTGGAGGTGGAGSTGAGGGGAGGGCGGTGGTAGAGCTGAGCATCTGCTGGAGTCAGTCATCCCATCCTCCAGGCAGGCACAGGGTTACTGCATCCTTCCTGCTACCCTGTTCTTGTCTGTGGCACATCTGGGTGGACCTTCAACCTGCTGCAGCACAGGAATGTCACCTCCTACAATGCAGGTAACAAACAATAAATAGGGTGGCTACTAATAATAGCCTTCCCTTGCCATCCCTGGTGGTTTATAGATGCAAAAAATGCTGCTGAACCAGTATTGCCCCTGGTTCAATAAACCAGCATCCATTTTCCTGCAGATAAGATGGTTCGTCAGGGGAAGGGATGATGATAATTCATTTGTCACACTTGTTGAATGTAGGAAAGGCTGGCTTTGGGTCACTTCCAGTTTTGTGTCAGCTCTGCCTTTATCTGAGCAGCCCCGTGCCTACATGCCAAGCAGGGTAGCTCAGGAGATGGGGACAGGAGTGGCACAGAAGTGGCATTGTCCCTGCAAGATTTCCTACAGCTGAGGGTGTCTCCGAGTGCAAAAGCAAGTGCAGTGTGGCTCACCTGAGTCTCAGCTCATGGAAAGGAACACAGTCATCATTGCAAGAGATGCCAGGACATGGGTCCCACAGGGATCTAAGCCTGCAGCTTGGCCCCCATGGTGACCCTGAGTTACCCCCCAAGCCCATCCAATGCCCTTGGGTTTGGCTGCAACGCCTGAGAGGCGTGATGGGGAAATATACCAAGCCAAGACCTCGGACACTGCCAGTGTGAGCTTGGTGCAGGTACAGGGGGAGGGGAAAGGGGATACAACCTCATCTCTGCATTCCTCTTAACCTCAGATTATACCAGGATAACTCGTTTGGGTCTTCCCTAAGGTAGCACTGTCCCAGCAGGATAGAATTTGCTCCAATCACCAGGTGCCGGTGCAGGGTGGCTGCAACATGAGTTATTTTGGCTGTACCCTCTTTGGGGGCATTGCCATTGTGCCAGGCCACCTCCTCCCTCTGCCTGGGACAAAGACWGGCTGTAGCCCTACAAATGTTAGAATGGGAATGCTGATGGCCAGGATCCCTTGGGTCTTGCGTCAGGGAAGGGAGCAWGAAGCAACCAGGAGAGGCTGGGAAGAGTACTGACCTCTGGATGAGTGATCACAGAGTTGTTGATGGCTGAGATACTTCCAGGACAACATACTCTGCCCTGGCAAACAAAACTTCCTTGCAAAAACGACCCCTGATCTGGTCTGATGTGGAAATGCTCTCCAGTGAGTGGGGAGTAGGGAGGACTGCAGGTCTTTCTGCCCACAGCTTTCCCTATAAATGAAGCCCAGACAGGTTGTAAGGTGTGGAGACCTGAGCAGGAAGGATGTGACATCTCATGAAGCTTTCAGGGAAGCACCTTCATAATCTGTCCCCACATCTCACTTTGGCACATCCTGCACCGAGCACAGCCCAGAGACAGCCTGCTGATTTAACCGTGCACTCAGCAATGATGAAGTGTCCCATGACAGCCTGTCTGCATTCCCCATCTCTTGCTTCACCTTTGCTTTGAGGGTGGGTGCAAAGGTAGACCTTGGTGCCTTGTCCCAGCTCCATGGCTGGTCCACAGTGATTGGTGTCCCTTGGCATGAGGTCATCTGACAGCTGCAAAAAGATGAGGYGCCTGTGGCATATGAGATGCGGGGTCAGAGGGGCTGTTAGGCTGTATCTTAGTCCTGGTCTTGCCATTCATTTATGGGTGTTTTCAAGACAGGGCGTGTTGATTTGCAGCACCACAGGCAGCCATCGGGCAGGGCTCTGAGCTCCTGCCTCGTTCAGCAGCAAATGCACGTCGTCTCTGAAATCCGGCTCTTCGTAATGACCCTGGGAAGTGCTGCAGAAGCGGCAGGTTCAGACTGCGGCGATTTATTTCTCTCTTCAGCGTTGGTCCTGGCAGGAAAGGGGGGCCCTGCCCGCGCAGCTGCCTTTGCCTGCTTGCCATAGATCTTCCATCAAGGAGTCACCGAGGTCTCTGCTCTTAAATCTGGGTCTGTGCTCTCCTTCATGACCTGCAGCAGCATCCCTCACGCCTGCTTTAAATCTCTCCCAGGCAGCTGCTGGTGACATTTGCATTTTCTCTTGCCAGCCCATAGAGACCAGGAGCCCAGCCCTGCTAAGGAAGGAATTAACCCGGCAGCATCACATATCAGAGGTATCTTTTTATTGACTGTTTACAGAAATACAGTAGCACTCCACTTAGGTGGCTTAGGCGAGTTCTCCAGAAGGTGCCTTCCTTCTCAGCATTGCTGGGAGATCCCAAGGAGAAACCTGCCCTTTAACACTTTGGGGTTTCTCTGGAGGCTTTGGGGCTCCCCAGCATGAACTTCCTAACACCTTCAGGGGTTGGGAGTTGTTTGAACCAGTGAATGAAATTCAAGAGAAGAAAAGGAAAAGAAACYCCCACAAGCTGGGGGTGGTGGGGCGGTCTGAACACACCTGATATGTTATGAGCCAGCCCTGCTATGATCCCCATCCATCACTGTATGTGTCTCCAGCTCCACAGGGCCCCACTGCTCCCCAGAGCTCAGCTGCCTGCCACTAAGCCTGCATAGCTCTGGGCTTTYCACACTCTTTTCACACAGCTTGTTGGCCATAAAATAAATATTTCTTGGTCTATTTTTCTTCCTGTACATGTGTAAGAGTGAGACCCTTGCCTTCAGCAGTTCACATACAATTTCAGGGCAAGAAGGGTATGCTCAGCTGGGCTGATAAACTAATGTAACTTTTATTTATGTATTTAATTGACTTTTTTTTTTTTCTTTTTTTGGCAATCAAGGTGTACTGGTTGGTTTGTTTCATGTGTCCTTGCTACAAGAAACTGCAGACACTTCTGGCGTAGAGGCATTTTGGCGGCGGCAGCTGCTGTTGGCCTCACTCAGTAGTCAGTGAGAGGGTATCGCAGGAAGATGAAGATAAGGATGATACAGAAGGTGGCAAGGGCTGAGCTGGTGATGTTAAAAAGCCGGGCTGTCTTGGCATCTTCAACTGCTCCATTTAAGTCATTGAGGAGTTTCTTATCCCGGACCTGAGACAAAGAGATAATKAAATGAAGTAATTGTAACATGTGTGAAAGTCATGTTTCAAGCGACAGCCACAAACCCCAATGCACCTGTGCATGGTTACCTGTACAGCAGATGAGGGCTGGGCTGGGCCTCTTGGTATTTGAGTGCCTGGGGTGCCATAAAACACCCTGAGGTGAGGTTTGCACACCATCTCTGCTGTGGGCTGAGCTGCTGAAGTCGAGCCCTGTGATACCTGTGGGCTGGAAATCTCTGGAAGCAGAAAAGACCTGGAAGAGTGACCCTRTGCTGTAACCAACCAGGCGAATCAGGTCCCTGGAGAAGGGCAGTGTCCTCTTGAGCCTGAGGGTGCCCAAAGGAACTGAGATGCCATCGTGCACCCCAGGCACACAGGCACTAAAGCACACTCCCCACCGTGTCACAGCCCCATGGCCCTGCAGCACCAGCCCTGGGCTCACCCAGCCCACAGGGKAGAAGGCTGGCTGCAGCTTCGGTGTGCATCCCCGTGCCTCCMTCTGCACTGAGGGGCTGAGCGGGTGAAACCTGGCACGGCATCCTGCTGCAGCTCCAGGGCTGCGCACACAGCCTCCAGCATATTAAGTAGTCCTGGGTTAATGAGTTCCTTTCCTTTTGCAGGTCCAATGCGGCTGGTGTAGCATCTCTGCCACAGGCACTTTGCTATTCTGACAGCACAGTCTGCTCCCTCCGTTATCCTGCGGGCTGGGACTTCCATGGGCTTTCCTTGGGACAGCTCTGCAGCGAGCRATGATTGTGCACATCCATGTCACTGGCCTGTCCCCACCTCTGCCAGGCTGCCAGGCGGTGTGTGGCACTGCCAGGCAGCGATGCCACTAGCAGCCATTAGCAATGCACTAGCGATGGCATTACCGGGCAGCAGATGGCACTGCAAGGCAGCAGATGACACTGCCAGGCAGCAGTGGCATCACCAGGCACGGGATGGCACTGCCGGGCAGCAGGAGGCATAGCCTGGCGACAATGGCATTGTAAGGCAGCAGATGGCACAGCCAGGCAGTGACCGCACAGCCAGCCAGGCAGCCATGGCACAGCCAGGCTAAGATGCCATGAGCAGGCAGAGATGGCACCATGAGGCAGCAGATGGCACAGCCAGGCAGTGACAGCACAGCCAGGCAGTGATGGCACAGCCAAGCTAAGATGCCATGAGCAGGCAGAGATGGCACCATGAGGCAGCAGATGGCACAGCCAGGCAGTGACAGCACAGCCAGGCAGCCATGGCTCAGCCAGGCAGCGATGGCACAGCCAGGCTAAGATGCCATAAGCAGGCAGAGATGGCACAATGATGCAGCAGATGGCACAGCCAGGCAGTGACAGCACAGCCAGGCAGCCATGGCACAGCCAGGCAGTGACAGCACAGCCAGACAGCTGATGGCACTGTCCACCAGCAGCAGCTCTGCAGTTTGATCCCAGCAGAGGAGGGCCCAGACTCCACCTCTTACTATCRAGGATATGTCCCTGTCCCCAGGCCGCCCCTTCAGCCAGCACTCAGCAGACTCTCAGGTAGCTGGAGCCACAAAATGCGGGTCAAAAGGATGAGGAGACTTGACCCCKTATCCATTTGCCATATCCCAGCGCGGTGCCCAGGGTGCCCCACTGAGGGCTCCTGGTGGGGGGTTGTGGGGAGGGGCTGTGAGCCCTTCACCTGCCCTGCTACCAGCAGTGAGAGCCCRGCCAGGCACTGCCAGCTGGACACTGGATGTTGGTGGCAGGCTGCAAAAACCAGCACCACAGTCAGACCAAGGAATATTAAAAGGCTTKTATCGATCAGGAGCTTTCCGAAAAGACGCTGCGACGGATTCAGACCACGTCTTACRGACTTTTTCTCTCTTCCTCCTGCAGTGCTTACCCACAGGGCTGTCCTGAAAGCTTTCTGCAACCTGCTGGACATGGGGAAGGGTTGCTGAACCCATTATTCCCATTGAGCTATGCTGGTTCATGGGGCCTCACAACCCCATCTTGGACCCTCAAGCAACATTCCTCTTTTCCATCACACCAATGAGGACCTCTCTGCACAAGCATCCCCTGATCTTCTGAACTGAGGATAGGGCATGAGACCCATGGGATCTGGTGCTGGCAGACACACAGGCAAGAATGAGAGCCTTTTCATACTTGTATTAAATYGAACGGCGCTGTGTCCTCAGCCTCTGATGTGCCCTGCTCATGGGAGTGTGGAGATGGAGCTGGGGCCATCTACCCATTGCTCTGCTKTGCAGTGCTCAGCTCAGCATCCTTCTGGGATCGACAAGAGGGGACAGTCACAAACTGCACATGTCTTTGGGGCACACTCAGCTGGAGCTCCCAGCAGAGATCATCTCTGGGAAGGCAGCGAGCCGGCAGCATGGGAGCCTACATGCCTTTCTGTGTCAGCTGAATGTCCGGGATGACTCAYGTTTGAAATTATTCAGTAAGTTCAACATCCTCCCCAAAACCCCTGGGCTCAGCAGCACCAGGCATTTGGCACCTCCTCACGCACCGGGTGAGAAGCCCCAGAGGTGCTGGATTCAGGCCAGGAATCCCGCCTGCCGCTCCCAGCAGACTCTTTGAAGCTCTCACACACTTTCCTCCTCCCAGCGGTGGRGCTGCCTCAGGCAAAACCTACACTGAGCAAATGCCTTTTGACCCTTCCTCCGCTGCAAGCCAGCGCTCTGTGCCGCAGGCAGGCTGGTGTTTGCCATCTGTGTGTGCCAGGCAGACAGAGGTTTGTCCCACAGACCGGCATGGCCAGCACACCAAGCTCTGCCACYCTCCTGCAGCCAAGCCACTTGCTTTACCTTAGTGGGACCAGCTCCTCTTGGTCCCAGGACCTCTCTCCTCACCTCCTGTTCCTCCTGTTCCTCTGTCCCTGGGRCACCCTACAACCCTTATTTCCACGCTCAGCCCTCTCCAGTGCTCCCAGCAGCCTCTCCCAGTGGCATTCTCCAGCTGACACCAGCTCATACTGGTGAAGCTGGTGCTTCAGCCCTTTCCCACGACACCCTTCAGCAGCGTGTCTCCTTGCCTTTCCCATGGCCCTCCCTTTGGCCTTGCTCCAGTCATGCTGCCACTGCTGAGCCGCTGCGGTGAAGGTTGCCTGGGGCTGCCCTCTCCCCAGTGCCACCATTTGCACGCAGTTCCTTTTTTTTGGTCCCTTCCATCTCTTCTCTTTCCTGTTGTTTGGGTCCAAATGATGGTGCGAGGGCTGCCTTTGACTCCTAGGGATGGGCACCCAGCTGCCTCCTCTCCCTGCACCTCCAGCTGCTTCCACCCACACACTCCTGCCAAGCCCTATGGCCTCAGTGCTCACCCCATCCCTGATTGCCCATAATCATTTATATTGCAAAGGAGTCTCTAAGTGCCAGACAACTGCAAGGGCCCCCATGGCAGTAAAGCACAATAACTAGGAGTTTCTCCTTACAAACCACCACAAACCACTTCAGCTACAGCCTCCCACATCTCTCCAGGGCAGCCTCGCCTCCTCCTGTATGGCCTTGCAACCCCAAATGCTTCCAGATGTCTCCCTTTAATGTGTCACCCTGCTGTGGTAACTGAKCCAAGCTCTGGAGGAGCTCTCCTGGAGAGCTGATAAGTGTTTCAGCTCCTTCCCTGCTTCGTCCTTAAGGAGATGCTGGTGTCTTTCTTATAGCCCAGCATCAGCTTTTCCTATTTTCATGCTCCCGTGGCCACCATCATCATAATGTGCTGGCAGCTGGTGCACAAGCTTCTGGGAGTCCTGGAATCTCATTCCTTCCACAGCCAGAGAGATGAAGCATGGTGAGGGACAGGTCCTCAAGGTCACAAGGCTGAACCCCCAACCCAGATTCCTCAGTCACAGGCTCTTGTAGTGTTTCCTCAGTCACAGGCTCTTATCATCACTTTGACCCTTCTCACCTTGCCTAAAAGTAGATGGGAATTTTTGGCCCTGCTTAGCACTGAGATGACTGGGGTGTGAGGATAATTACAGCTGCTGACTGAGGTTTCCCTGGGCACCTCCAAGAACTACGTGGTGGTCTYTCTGAAGATCACCCCTGGGCAAAGCAGAGCTCACCACTGATGCAGGATGGCAACTTACACAATTTCTTTCTTGTTCCATGCCTGTTCTTACATGAAACACAGCCAGCTTGTCTGCTCTGACATGCAAAATTTTCTCCTCTCCTCTCCTCTCCCACCAAGAAAAAGCAGTGGTAGCCTTTACATCCAGTTCCACTTGCCTGTCACCTCCCTGCTGCTCACCTTGTCTTTCRGTCACTCCATCTCACTGTATCCTCCCACACCTCCAGAATGCCAGTGTCCAGGGCTTCTTTCTCTCCTCCCTCTTATCACCGTCCTCTGCCCTTTGTTTCCTTGGGGTTTTTCCTTCTGCTTCCTCTCCAAGTGCTCCCTTTGGCTCCTACCACCCCACTCCCTTCCCCAGCAGTCACCTCCCGTCGCTCTGCCCTGAGCCTCAGCCCCTCTCATTTTTGGGAGCAGCAAACTTGCTGTTCTAGCAAAAAGTGCTGCCTCAGCTTGCACAAGGAGACGAATGGTTTGTTGATAATGACTCTAATGGGGCTGTTTTTAAGGCAGCCTGGAAGCCCACAGCTGGTTGTCAGTAAACCCATTTCTATGCAGAGCTCTGTGTCCCTAAACAGAAGGAGCTCTGGAGGCGATCCTTGGATTTATTTGCTTTGTGAATTGCTCAAGAGTTCTCCAGCCCACGTACCTCCACCACACCGGCACTGGCATCACGGGACTGTCACCCCTGCATTTCACCCACCTCCATTGCTCCTTCTGAAAAGCAGGATGAGAGCCTGCCTCAGAGGTTGGGTGCGGCAGCTTCTCGGGGTTAATAAATAGCTGTGGATTTGTGCYGGTCTGCTTCCACTCGAAACAAGGAAGATCAACAAGTGGCAAGAGGGGAAGGCAAACAGTCGTGCCCACAGCTGTGTACTAAGGGCTGGGCAGAGAGTGGGCAAGAGAGCTTGGCATATTTCCATGACCTCAAGGGGCAGCAAAAATCTGCAAGCAAAATGCTGTGGGCTGCTGGTGAGGCTTAAAAAACCAGCAAAGCTCCTTGGCATCTTCATCTCTACAYAGCCACAGCGAGGCATCCGTACTGCAGCTCATCTCAGATCCCAACTCCTCTGATCCTCCGCCTCGTGGCACAATGGGCACGGGAAAGGACTTGGCTCACCCCAGCAGTCTCCAGAGACGGACCTCGGAACAACTGAAGTGAGATCTCCTGCCACCAGGCACTGATGCATCATTCATTACCACTTGGAGCTGGGAAAGGGGAAGGGAGGGAGCTGCTGAATATCAGACCACAGCATTTGCTTCAGATCAAAACCAACTGAATCCAAAGCGCTGCTGTTGGAGCGATACTTTTATCTGTGCTGGGCTGGGGTTAGGGTTACTTTAGGGTTTCTAACTTGCCTGGTCCTGCTGTTGATCTTTTCGCCCCCAGCATCCAGCACACATGGTAAGATGCAAGTGCCTTCCTTGCACTCTGGGAGGCTGACCTTGAAGAAGCCTGTGATGCCAGAAATGACCCCTGGAGGGATACATGAGTTGTGTGACCCCCTGCAGCCCAGCAAGTTGTGTTTGCTGAGAATCTGGCCTGCTATGGGGGTAAATAAAGCTGTGGCATGCTGCTGCACTCCTGTTCAGAGTACTTGGCTGTGACATCCGTCACACTCAGTACTTGCCTTGGATGCMACAGCCTCTGCCCTCGCCTGACTTCATGGGTTTGTTTCTTCATAAATTCTTTGTTCTGGGGTGGGGGGTTTTGGCATTTTTTAATAAATAGTTGTCACCAGGAGATAGCATTTCCCTGCAGAAAGAGATCTGGAAGGCTGTAGCTGGCATGCAAAAGGCCAGGCAGACATGCCTGTTTTCCCAGATGTGGCTGAAACCAATAAAATAGGGCATGAGGAAAGAGACAGCTTTACAGTAATATTCAAGAGTACCAAGGATATATCTGGCTTCCAGTGTGGGCATTATGCTGCTGAAAGCAGAGGGAATACTAGGATGTCCTAAGATACATTCTGAAACATYTCATGGACTTGGGACACAAAGGAGATACTGCTTTATTAACAGTATGAATCTGTCAGAAGCAGGTGACCTTTATGTCAGGGAACTGAAAATGCTATTTCTGATAATGAAAACCATCATTCCTGAAGTTGCTAGATGTTTCAGACACTTAAAGGAAATGCAGAAGCTGTAACCCAGGAACTGCTTAATGGCATCAGTGCACTGATGGCCCTTGAGGAAACCTGTGCTCCACCAGCTGAGGGCTCTGCCGTCAGCGGTGCCAGAAGAGCCTCAGGGAGAGGATAGTGCAGCTCCACTCTTCTCCCTCCCACAGCCCCTTAGTCAGCCCCTTCAGAGCACAGACATCCTAGAAAGGCTGGACTTAAGTGTACTGCTCAAATGTCTTTGCATTTAATTGCAGAGAAACAAGAGAAGTCTGTTTAAAGGGATATCTGTCCTCAGGGTATTTCTTACTCCTGTTTTTGCTGAACTTCTGGGAAAAACATTTTTACTGGTAAAAGAGAAGAAAACTTGCTTCTGGAGAAATAATCATAACATCCAGCCTGGCTAGGGTGTTGTGAAGATTCCTGCAGTAGCTGTGGGTAAGGATCCTGCTTTTCTGAACATCCCAGCTTTCTCCAGGAAAGACCTGCTACTGCCCCAGCATCTGCATTGCCTCTCACCACCCATCCTAACAGCAGCTCACGAGAGCACTCAGCATCCCTTCAGCCACTTGCTAGCTCTGTCCTCTGCCTCTGAGGGACATTTTGTTTCTATTTTCCCCCCCGCCACAGAGTCACAGCCACTGGGGAGCTCCAAAACCAGAGCAGAGTTATTTCTACCCGTTCAGCATTACCTCTGTTTGGGTACCACGGTTACATCCCATCAGCTACCGCCTTCTCAGTCCGAAAGCCAAGGCTGTTTTTTGACAGCCATCTTCTATCCTCCTTTCTCTGATATGGAGCAAATTTGCCCATTTTCCYTCCCTCACCATTGCCTCTTTTTTTCTATGTTTGAGTCTACATCCTCTAGATCATTGCACACAGATGCCAAGCCCACGCCCCTGTTCCTGGGTTACTTCTGGGCTTTCCCCTCCCTTCTACCCCATGTCAAGGATAGGGAAGGGTCCAGCCGCTGAAAACTTTGCAGGTGGCAGATGCTGCTGTATCCTGTCACCTGGGGATGGGTCAGCTCTGTCCTCAGGCTGTCCTGCCCCCACTGCTGCAGCAGCAAGGAACCACAGGTACCCAGATACTCATGGTAGCCTCTTCCACAGGAAAGATGTGAACCGCTAAAGGCAAATACAGACAAGGAAAGGCTTCAAAAATAAGGAGGAAGCCAGTTTTTTTCTTCCCTCGCTGGATCAAGGTATGGGGGGTGTTAAGGGACTTGCTCCCCCTACTTGTGTTAGGCTGCTGCTGACTGGGTTTGCCCTTTGGTCAATCCTGCTCGTGGCGATGCTTCGCTCCAACATGATTTAAGTTATCAAGTGCCTCAGCCAGCAGCAGCAAAGCCTGCACAGGCAATGGATGGGAGCTCGCCTCTCATCTTGGGGAAGGAGAAACTGAGGCAGGCACCACAGGGCCAGTGCTGGGTGAGCCCAGGACATAGGGTCACAAACTTGACCCCTGAGCCTTCTGATGGAGACCCTGCCGGTGCTGGGAGCAGCCTCCTTGCAGTGCTGGGTGCTCACAGTCCAGCTCACGGGAGCTGTATGGGGTTAATCGATCTGCTTCTGTGACGAAGCCCGTCTGCACCCTGGCCTTCCTCTAAATGCTGCCTGCCAAAACAAATCAGCCAGCTCCTCTCCGGGCCACCCAGCCGCCCCAGGCTCTCTGCACATCCATTCAGTTAGTTTTGCATCTGGCAGGCAGGGAAGGGGAGGGCAGCCCAGGCCCCTCTCTCCTGGCAGCTACCAAGGGGCTGCCTGTTTGCCAGGCACCATCCCTGCCGGGCTGCTCTCCCCTGCAGCTATCAGGAATAATAACCTGGTCCCATTCCCATCATGGGCTGTGCTCCACGCCATCACCCTCTCCAACAACGCAGCTCTGTATCCTTTCAGTCCTGACACTGTGGGAAGCCTCCTGCACTCTTTTCCACCTCCTCACCATTCCCATGATGCTGGCAGGTCTCCAGGGCTTGTTTTGAGATTTATAGGGCTACGGGTGGGAGAAGCTGGCCACGAGCTCTGGCGTTTTAATTAGGGAGAGGGCAAGAAAGAAGCAGGCAGAACTGCCCTGCGCTTTGTAAGCTTCTTACCCCCTGTAACTTGCCAGCTGCTGGCTGATCCTGGCTGCCTTGCTTCCCACTGTTCCTGCCTGACCATCCAGTGCTGCTGGGTCCTATCCTGATGATCTCTAACAGCCAGGATCCCGAATCAGCGACCAAGTGCCGGCGTGCCTGCAGGTGCAGCGTGAGCCAAGCCAGCCCCGTGTTCCTGCCCGCCACCCTGCCGACGCGGCACGGAGGAGCCTCGCAGGGTACTTGGAGCAAGTGAAAACGTCTCTTCCCCACCTGAAGTAACATCCCAAGCTCCTCAGCTCTTCCCAAACCCATCCCCGTTGTCTGCAACCTCTCATTTGGGTGGCAAAGACGTGTTTTGCATCAGACACTTCACCCCAAACGCTTCACCCCTCACGCCGTGCCCCGTGCTCAATACTCACTTTCAGTGAATAGGCCAAGGCGATGAAGCCGAGGCAGCAGAAGTTGAGGTATACAAAGTTGAAGATGGACCAGAGATAGTAGTCGTTCACCTCGGTGGTGTCAGGGTAGATTTCGATGACAGTGGTGGGGTTGGTCATCGTCTTCTTCTCCACCGAGTGCTTGCATGGGACCGCTGGCCGCARGCTGTCCCCTTTGCAGCTCTTGCTCTCCATGAGATAAACGGCAGAAGAAGGAGACAGGACAGGCGAAGCTTGCCGGAGAGCTGGGGGCTTGGCGATGCAGGCGAAGCAGCCCTGCGGCGGGCCTTGAGGGGGTCTCGGGGTCCAGGCCACCCCCTCAAAGGGGCATGGCGGGCCCAAGGGGGGGTCCTGTGTCCTCTCCGTGGTGGCTGCCGCGGCGTCACCGCGCTCTGCCCTGGCAAAGCAAAAAGCCCCCCCGTGAAAAACGGGGGTGAGGGGATGGAAAGGCCGGGGGCAGGGGGAGAAGAGAAAGGGGGAAAGGAGCAGAAAAGGGGAGACGTGGGGGGAAGGCAGGAGAGGGAGAGAGGGAGAGAGAGAGAGAGAGAGAGAGAGAGAGAGAGGGACCAGGAGACAGAGGAGAGAGCAGGGAGAGGAGTGAGGGAGTGGGCAGAGGAGAGAGGGAGGAGAGTAGGGCAGGCAGGAGGGGGAGGAGGGAGCACCGCTACACCCGGGGACCACGACGCCGCCGCCTCGGCGCGGAGCTGCCGCCGGCCCCGGCCCCGCGGCGGGGGCAGAGGGGAGGCAGGGCGGGCAGCATCCCTCCCCCTCTGCACCGCCTCCCCCCGCCGCTGCCCGCTGGCCTGCGTGACCCGCGTCCCAGCCACCGCCGGGGAAATCATCCCTTTTTWAAAAAGGAGACAAATAAATGCAGAAAGAAACACTTGGGAGGCGCCGGGGGGCTGCGAGGGAGTTGCTAGCCGGCCGCGCTGCAGCCCCCCGCAGCCATCCCCGCCCGCCTGTCCGTCTGTCGGTCCGGCGGGGCCTTCTCCTTTCCGTCCCATGCCGGGATGGGAGCCGCTGGCTCGGCTGCGGGCGGAGCGGGTCTCCCGGTGCGGCAGAGCAGCCCGCCCCTCCGCCCTCCCTCCTTAGGGGGCTGGGTATTTTGGGGGGGATTTTTTTTTTCCTGAATCCTAGTCTCTGCGGGATTCGAGATGTGATTCCATTTCCCGGTTTCTTCCACCTGCCAGCAGGTTTCCCATGCCCCCCTCCCCCCGCCTTTTTTTTTTTTTTTTTTTTAGGATGTCGTGGCTGGAGAGGAGGAGGAAGAGGAGGAGAGGAAGAGGGGATGAAGACAGAGGATGGGGAAGGGGATATTGGAAGAAGTTCCCCTCCACCCTAGCTTTGCAAATAGAAGAGGCTATTCCACCTCTGGCTGCCCGTCCGTCCGTCTCCTCCGAAGGCATCAGGAGGAGCGAGGGATACTCACAAGGAGGGATGCGGGGAGTCGCTGCATATCCGGCTCAGCACTGCCTCCGGCTCGGCTTCCTCGGCGCTGGAGTTGAAGGAGGAGGGGAGGGCGGGGAGGGGGGCACCCATGGACTAGGGGTGGGCAGGGAGGGAGTTAGGGGATGGGAAGGTCAACCTGCCGCCCCCTTCCTCCCCCCGAACATGCTCCACTCAGGAGAGCTCCTCCGTGTCTCAGCCCTTCTCCTCGTGTCCCCCCCACTGGGACGTCACCTCCTGCTTGGAGCATCCTGGTAGCGCCCCGCTGGAGAAGGGCATCTCCTGGGCCCGGCCGAGCGGCTTCCCCGAGCATCAGAGGGGGATGCTCGGCCCTGCTCTCGCCAGCATCACCCGCAGACACCTTTGCAGTGGGGACTCGCTGCAGCCTTATTTGCGGGTTCGCTCCCATGGACCTACCTGGGTGAAAAACTAAAACAAGTGTGGCAGGAGTGCGTGGGGATAACCGGAATTAATGAGGGGAGGTGGTGGTGATGCAATGCTGTGGGGAAAAACGGGCTCTGGTCATAGGGAATGCATGGAAAGGGGATAAATCCTGTGCGTGAGGTAATAAATCCTGCTGGCACTGAGCAAATCCCAGTGTAGGCAGGGGTGGGAGCGTCCCGGCAGCAGGATGCAGGGCGTGTGGCTGCTTTAGCGGGGGGAGGTGGGGGTGTCACGGAGGCTGGTCAAGCCCAGGAGGCTTTGGCCGTGCCCAGGCTTAGCACAAGATCAGGGCAGGCTTGCTGCCTGCCATTGCTGACACTCTGGAAGCTGCACGTAATCCCAGTTCTAGGGTGCTATGGTAGCGTCCCCCCAGGGACGTGAGGATGGAGAGCAGCTGGTGCCGTGCAGGGACAGTTTGCAGGTCATTCAGGAGGATGCAGCCGTGGCACAGGGAGGGTGAGGACACGCTGTGTCACCCACAGTGACAGAGCCTGGCGCAGGTGGCCTTGTTGCAGAAGGCAGTTCAGCTGTGGTGCTGGACAAGGGTAGCAGAGAAATCCCCAGAGTGCTGGAAAGAGGGTGGGTAAAACAAAAGTTCATGTGAGCAGAAACTGCAAGGGAAGGGAAATCCTCTGGAAATGCCTTAAGCCTACCCACAAAGTGCTGAGCTAAGAAATAAGGATGGTAATTCACTCAGCTCTTTAGYGGCAGGTTTGGCTCCAGTGTCAGGGCACCCATCCTGTGTTCATCCCTGTGGGTTGGTGTGATGTGGGGGAACTTCTTGCACATCCACAGCTCTCTGAGGCTGGAGGGGGCCCAGGTTCCATGAGACCAGTTTAATCCCTCTGAAGATGCATTGGTTAAAAAAGGACAAATTGCCCTCAGGTTCAGAATTTATTGCTGCTGGAGTGGCGTTGGGTCCTGCCAAAGTAAAGAAGGTTATATTTATGCTATGGCTGCCTGTAATGAGACCCAGGTCTCTCTCCAAGAAGCTGCTGAGAAACAGGGGCAGTGCTAGGGTGAGAGCGATACTCCTGTGGGATTAAGAGGTTTGCAGGAGAGGCAGAGTGATGGCCAGCTGCCATCAGCTTTTCCGGAGGGCTTGGAGAAATTCAGCTGTGCAGAGTATCCTTCCTGCAGGCTCAGGAGGAACAATGAAACCCTGGATGCAGACTGGAGCTACTGATGAGTCTGCTGTTTGTTTGTCTGGGGAAAGTTGTGTGGGTAGGGCTGCTCCTCTTCTTAATGTCAGGCAGGGATGGAGGGTGAGCAGAGAAAAAGGTCAGAGGGGTTTGGAACAGGCAAGAGGAGGCAGCAGGGTGGTGTAGGGAATGTGAGATCAACAGAGACAGCCACATTCTGTGGTATGAGTAGGACTGAAAGGTCATGGAGATTGAATGGCTGAGTTTTCTCTGCTCCAGGTACCAGGTGATCCCTAAGGTTTGCAGAGCACTTTTTGGTCTTTGGGTGCATCACTCATCATCTTTCTCGATGTCAGTTGTGAGTGATGAGAGGTTTATTACCTGTGGACCACAGTGGCATATATGCAGCATCACTGGTTCATAAACCATTCATGTGACCCTTCTCCCAGGGAGCTGACATAAAAAAATGATGCAAGGAATTAAATCCMTCAATATTCTGCATTGTTTTAACCCCCCTCTAATTTTCTGGGGCTCTTTAAAGGTCATGCACGTAAGCCCTCAACCATACACTCTAGGACTATTTTCCTTTCAAATAAAAGGTGGGGYGAGTATGAATAATCACTGCATTACTGTGGCATCAAGGCTGGCTTCCCTTCATGCTAAGCATAGGACAAACAGAACAGAAAGATGTTTCCTGCCCCAAAGCAATTCTCCCGTAATCATTTTAGAGACATGTGGGCTGTAGCATAATCAAGTGCTGTAAGACCTGTGAGAAAATCTTCAGTCTCAAATCCTACTCAAGCTCTTCAGAAAACCATTAGCAGAACCTGACCCTGCTTTTTTTTTTTTTAATTTCTGAAGGAGAGTCCACAGCCTCCTGAATGCTCCTTTCCTATTACCCCCATAAAATTCCTCAGTGGGTTGCTAAGTTCCATAAGCAGTAAAGCAGCCTGAGCCTTGGAGGGGTAAATCCCATCTTCCCACTCTCCCTTGATCTCTGTCTCCTGTTCTCTGAGCTTTCATTCTGCACTCTGCTTCTCTTCCCTCCCAAAGAAACCTAAAAATAAATAAATCYGAGAAAGAGCGGAAAAAGGAAAAGCCATCAGCCCCCAAAATGATGTGCTTAGTCATTCATGATGAGTAAAAATAGTTTCCCAAATAAACGAATTGCTGAGCCAACCAGATGAGCAAGTCATCTCCATAAACGAGGGGTCTCATCCTCCCTCTCCTTGGGCAGGTCCTTGTGTTAATGGACTTTTGGTAAAGCCCTAAGCAGAATTAGTYGGAGAAGGATCAGGCCCATGAAGATGGCCCTGGGGGTCAGTGCCAAGCACCATACTAAAGGGGACATGTAATGAAAAATTTCATGTTGTTTGCATCAATGGAGACATTTAATGAAGAGTGAGATACCAAATTGTCATGTGCATGGAGTTCTGCAGACATGGTCCAGTGAACGATGGGGCTGAAGTAAACCTGAGGACTTYCTGGGCAAGGTAGTGTGGGGCTGCATTGGGGCTGCTCCCAGGGTGAGGTGTGCTTTGCTCCCTGCTGGAAATCTATGGGTGGGTGATTCTGACTCTTGGCTTCTCCAGCTCTTGGCCAAGATCAAGCCTGTGATTGCTCCCACTGGGATGTAATGTTCAGTACACAAGGCAGAATCCCCCCAGCAGAAACAGGGCCCTCATATTTCTGTCAATAAATATTTGGCAGCTGATGACTTGTTCTCCCCTTGGGCTATTGAGGAACAGTGGGTTGCATGATTGCTTTTCAGGACCCAGCCAACCCTTTTGGGTTAAATCCTTCTCTTTAACATAGAACAGCTGATTGGGGAATTTGGGCATCCTGGGGGAACAGAGGYTCAGGACATGCCAGTAGGGAAATCAGCTAAGCTCTGTGTTGCTTAGATCTGCGCTCAGAAGATGGGATGGGACTTGGCTGCATCCATCTTGCTTATGTAGATGATGCTTTTTTCAAAGTAGGGATTAGCTCTTATCTTCCACCTGGCACATGGGGCCTTCATTCCGCTTCAGAGTCTCCAGCTCCCATACAGCAGTGCTAGGACTAAAAATTAYGCAGTTAGGCAAGAGGGACGGATTTTTCCTACACTGTTGAAAAACACTCATGCCATGCTTATCACTGGGCTCCGGGACTTCCCCAGACTACACACCTTAGCGGATTTTAGGCCAGACTTAGAAACTGAAGTTCCACTTTGGCTGCTGCAGGACCACTCCAAATCCTTAGAAGGAGCTTGTTCTAACTGGTCCAGAGGACCAGGGGACAGTCAGAGTTCCCTGTCAGTGAACTGCCCTTGGCAATACTCARCTAGGGAGATGTGGCCCCAGGAGAAGGCTGCAGGCTACCAGACACACTGGGAGGGCCTGCTGCCCCTGTGGTGCTGGGTGAGGCAGTTGGCACCATCATGTCACCTTGCAGAGGCTGGTTTGTTTTAATCCATTAAAAAAGACAAATCCAACAGACTTTCAGCATGTTTCTTTACCTCAGAGAAGGGCAGGAGCCCTTCTGAAACACACGAATTCACACTAGTGGGCACCCAAATGTCCAAGGGCAATGCGTCAGGGAGACACAGTCTCTGGACACTGACAGCATTTGGCATCTCAAAAGTGCAAAAGAAAAGACCACTCTCAGAGTTAAAGGGGAAAATACTGTATTTTGTTTTCAATTTTCTATGAAGAGACAATAATTCTGACAGCAAAATAATTTTTGAAAACCAGTCACACGATTAGAGATSGGTTTAAAAATGCAAATCAAAGAACAAGGGGAGGAGACCCACTCAGGGAAGGCTGCAGTGAACTGGTCCTCCAGCCTTTCCTAAAGTGTGTCCCTCAGGGCATCGCTCTGGGCCATGCTCTTCCCCCAGGCAGCAGCCTCCTGCCTCCTGCCAGACACCGCAATCACCACGCAGGAGGCACAGCCACGGCCCAGGGGCTCCAGCTGGGGCCGTGCTGCACATCCCACTAAAACCTGATGCTGAAGGTATTCAAAACCCACTGCCAGGTCCATGTCAAGCTTCCTCCTCACATGAAGTCTGTTTAGCAGGTACTCTCACTGTGCTGAAGAAATCCTGCAGCTGGGAAGTGATGTAGCACAATTTAGAGGAGCTCTGGGCACTTAACTGGTGTGCAACTGAAGATCTCTGGAGAGGTGCTGAATATTTGCTGATTCTGGAGTAGCTACTGAAGGTTTTTTGTTTTTTTTTTGGTAACAAGCTACTGTTCTCTGGCCAGTCTACAACAGATGTCCTTTGGTGTCCGGATGCAGTGTTCCAGATGAAGACTACAATGAGGCAGAAGCAGGCTTGAGGAGCAGCATTTGTCACATCTGGGGTTGCAGGAGATAGTGGATGTGTCCCAAGTGTGCCCACGCCTGTCCTCACTGTCCATGCCAGACCCCTCCAAGGTGAGGCATGGTTAGAGTGCCAAACTTATTTCACTGGGCAAAACTGTCTATTCACTCACTGCCCAAAAGCCTTCCTCACAAAATTTGTTGGCCTCACTGCTACTGCTGGCATGAATGTAAGTGAATTTTGGGTAGCCAGGGTTTTGCCATCTGTTTAGCCTGGTCTGGGGTCATGGCTGCTGCTAATTTTATCCTTTTGCCATTCTCAGCTTTGCTCCTCATCTGCTATCACTCCCTTAACTTCAGGACACTGGGAAAATGAAGAGAGTCTTTCACTCCCAATACAGGGGCTGGGATTCTTGGCAGGCTCTCTTCTGCTTTCCAGTACTGCTTAAAACTAATTTTATCATCCTCCCAGCTCCACCAGTGTTTGCCTACCAGTGCCAGCCCAGCAAGTGGCTCCACATGTGCAGATCCCGGCTCTCTGGGAGGATCTGTGCACACAGCTCAATTGGCTATAACCTCTTCAAAGCAGAATTGTGCCTCACTGTCTGCAACACAGAGCTCACCAGCGTTAGCAAARTGGAAAGCAGGTACAGAAGGCGTTAAAGGCAGTGGATTTTGCGACAGGGGAGCAGGGAAAGCGAATGCAAATCCAGGAGCTGCCATGGCATCCTTCTGCCCAGGTCTGCTGGCTCTGCCAACTGTCTCTTGAGTTTTGGGCAGTTCAAAATGCTGTGAATCATGTTTCCAAAAAGTCTTAATGTGGCTGACATAAATAWGGATTTTATCAGTATGATTTTAGCTTGTAGGTCACTTAGTTGCTTTAGGAAACATTATTCTCAATTCACTGTGGATGAAGCTGGGAAGACTTSTTTGGGGAACCTGGGAGGAGGTCACTAAACTCAAGAGAACTTGTGCCACGTGACTTTGCTCAGCAGAAGGCTGGACCTTCATGGCCCTGAAATCAAGTAACCTCTATTATAACCTACCTTGACCCCTTAATATTCATACGGACTGAAAAGCCCCACAGGCTAGAGCCCCCCTATAAACCCTTGTCTTGTTATGTCAGGCACATGGATATCATGCCTCCCAGCTCTCTCACTAGTGCCATCACTAAACAAAACACACCACCAGAGCCCTCAAGCTCTGAAACTCATCCCCTGGCACACTACCATGATTCCCCATCACCCYAGCCCAGGATATGCTCTTCTAGGACCAAGCCAGCATGAAGTCCTTGAGAAATGCCCTACTGGTCATCAACCTCAACCTACCAACCTGGCCTCAACCTACCAAGAAGGGGTCATAAAGACAGATTCTCCCCCACCATCCACTCTCTGACTTCATGAGTGAAAAAGCAAGAACTAATGTGCAAGACAGCCTTCCCTTGTCTCTCTCCCCCAGCACAGAAGCCCAAACTCAAGAGCAGTAGCATAACCTCTGCAGGAACAGAGGTGCCAGGGGCTGGCTTTAGGCAGCTGCACCGTGGCCAGGAAGGACACCAGTGCTGGGAGATGTGAGAGGGYCCTGTTCAGCTCTGAGAATTATTCTGAAAAAGAACTATTGGAAGACCTAGCAGTAAAGCAACRGACTACTCCAGCTGGAGTTGTCAGCTAGAGACCTCCCAGCACCACTTACTCAACAGAGTGGAAAAAGTAGCTAGTAGGGCACTAATGACTATTTTCCATGTAATTTTAAATCTAGTTCCATTTCTTTTTCTGTTTTTTTTTCTCCTTTCCGCTCACTGGGTTTCTAATACTGGTAACCTTTCTCTACAGCTCCCGTGTGTGTGTGTGTGTGTGTGTGTGTGTGTGTAGGTGTGTGTGTCTGGCAGAGACAGTGGGGTTAGGTGTTTAGGCACTTTGGGCAAAACCAACACGGTTGTTATCACGGTCAAAGACGGAGTAGTAGGGTCCAATGAAGACATCTCCCAGGATCCAGAGCGGGCCCCCAGGGGGTGGGATGTCCAGGCCTGAAAAGCCACTCATGCATATCACCTGTCCTGCAGCGCCAATCTAGAAAGAAGAGTGAGAGCTTCAATCTAAGCAGGTCAATCCCTTCCCTCAACGTTGCAGGCTTGGCAAGAATACCTGCCAGAATGCCTATGCTTCAGCTTCTCCCAGGCTGAGATCCACAGATAGCCAACCCACTGACTCCCAGCCCACTGCTTCTGTGGCTTCAAACCCAGCTCCCCCTCCCTTAAGCACTAAAGCATCAAGCAAAGGTGAACTTGACCATAAACCTCCCAGCCCCCACATCTCTGAAATAGAGCCATTGGTACAAGTCTGCACAAGATTGTCCTTGCAAGTTGATTCTGATGGCTTAAATGACAGGCTGGTGGCCTCTGCTATAATAAGGCTGGCATCATGGCACCAGAAAAGAGCTAAATGTTCGTAGAAGGTGATGCAACAGACTGCCTCCCCTTCCTCTCCCATCCTGCTATCCCTCACAAGCATTATGCAAGGGGTCTCATTCCTGTRAAACCTTGGTGAGGTTACCTGGATCCATCAGCAGTGCCATCACCCTGACATCCCAATCTTTCAGACTTCTTCTCAAGCACCAGCTCCAGCACTGCTTTGGCTGCTTTTGCGTTTTGGAGAAGTGAAAGTAAAAGCCAGGGGAAGAAGCATAAGGCTGAACAAATCTGGACATACCTTGAGGATATACTGCTCTCCTGTGAGCTCGTAGCTCTTCCCTCCTAGTACCATCGTGACGTTAGGCAGTGTTGGCACTTTCTCACAGGGGACCATGTACTGAAATTGCAACAGCAAAGGCTTTAGATTGGACCTCCCACACTCTCAAGTCTTCCTTAAGCACAATCACATCTTTGCTATGGTTTTGCCCAAAATTAGCTCTTCTCAGGGTGCAGAAGAAGCTTGACCTGGGGTAAGTAGGCTGCTCCCTGCCTAGGGCTCCAAGCTGATTGATAAGGACGAAGCCAAAGGAAGTTAGATTCAGCTTTTGGCTCTGATGAGTCCCAGGGTGCCACAGCTGATGTGGCACAGTTGGGGATCTTTACCAGAGGAGAGGCAGCTCCTGTGGGCTCAGCACAGAGGGATTCAGAGTGTAATGAACTGACAAAACCAGTTTCAYCAACAGTAGCAAGTCTTAGGGATGATGGCAGGTTTAAGCCAATTGTTGCTGCAGCCTGGGGCCTCTGATACTGCAGAAATGCCCTACAAGTGCTCATGGCTCTGATTTGAGAGGACTTTCAGAGCAGGGCATTTAGTTCTACAGGGTCTTTATAACCCATATTCTTCCACAATTTCAGGGAGGAGAGAGAGCCTTGTGAGATTAACTTTGATGGTTGAAAACTTGGCAACAAAGTGTTGTCATTTGCATGTAATATACTTGTATTAAAGYGTCTCTGGACTCACATTAATGTGAATCCTTGGCCTCAGCTGCAACTCAGGATCCCTCCTCTTCCACCTTCCAGAGGTGGGTGGCAGAGGTGACTCAAAGTTTCCCTAAGTTCATGGGATCTGGACTTTTTACCATGAACATGAGCAGGGTGGTGAATGCCACCCAGGGTCCAAAGATAAAGAGATCCCTGCTGTGCCAGTGGCTTTTCCAGGAGCACAGGCTGGGAACAAAGATCAGAGGGAGCAGAAGGGTCTCAAMAAGCATCTGAGTGCAAATTAGAGTGCAAGCATAGATGCTGTGATGGCCATAGACTCCCACATTTCCAGTCCAGCCTCACCTCGCCTTTCATGAGAGGTTTTGCACCAATGGCTGCCTGTATCTTCTTCACTTCTTTGGTGGGGCCAGTGATGAGTGAGGTTCCTGTGTCCACRATGGCCTCGCAGCCCCCCTCACACACGCTCACCCCGTTGGCAACRTTCACCCTGGGGAGAGATGTCCAGACATTAGAAAACCCTTAGAGGCCTCCTAGTGAAGGCTGCAGGAAGCAGTACACAGGCAGGCAAGGGAGGGCTGACAGACACCCAGGAAGGACAGATACTCAGAAACACTGATGCAGCACCAACTCAGTGCACAGAACCCCTGGCTCCCTATTGCCTGCTCGTGACTGAGCAGGTACCTTGAACTTTAAGTATGTTTCTGCAGAGAACCTGGATGCTGCCTGTGTACCCTGCTTGCTACCTGCACTCCAGAGTAAGCCCCACAGCTAATGGACACGGGAGAGCGCTATGGGAAGTTAATTATGTACTTGTATGGCCTGTGCTACTGCAGAAAAACAAAGGGTTAAAGGAGTGGCGTGACAGCCATTGGCAAGGGAAGGTTTCTGTACAGAGGAAAGGYGAGACAGGAGCTGCCTGGCTTCCTCACCCGTATCACATTTCACAGCAGTAGACAGACAAAATCCTCTAGCCAAGGGTCTGCCACACTTTGCCAATGCTGCAAGGCTGGGGGAAAATGAGAACTAAAACCCTGCACTGGGGAGGGATGTGATTCCCAGGAAAAGGACACACTCTGATCACAGGCCACTTTTAAGTTCCCATCACGTGGGAGAGCTCAGAATAGACCATGGGGCTGGTGGCCGGCAGCTCAGGCTGCTCTCCTTCCCTCTGCCTCCAACAATGCGCACTGATTGCTGCRCTGTGCCCTTCAGTCAAGGGCTGGCTTCCTGAGGCCTCATCCTGCTCTTCCGGAGCTGTGTGCAAGAGAGCCATGCAGCTCAGACCTTGCTGAGAACTGAGCAAAACCRGGGTTTAATCTGTGGGGCTCGCCCTGCCTGCAAGGAGAACACACTGGCATTCTACCCCACTTTGCAAGGACACAGAAGGCATTTTCAAAGGTCAAGCCATAAAGAAGAGGAAAGRATTTTGCAGATCATCTATGGTTTCTGCCTCTCGTCTCCTTCCAGCAACCTTGACAAATACCCAGTCCTAGGGTGGGATTTTAACCTGCTTTTTTTGTTGTGCATGGGCTGCAGGGACGATTCCTTTTCGAGGAGGATCTCAGCCAAGCCTCAGGCATGTGCTGTCTGCACATGTGACCCCACACATGTAGTCGAGTGGATGAGGAACTTACCCATCCATGTGGATCTGCCAATAGGCCTTGCGTGTGACATTCATCCAGCTGAACTCGCCCTTGTAATACTTGGGGTCGGTCCCTCCCAGGACCAGCTCACCACCAGGCTCACCAGAGGGGTCTCTGAAAAAMAATACCCAAACCTGTGAACATGAGGGACAAGGCAAGAAGAACCTGCTTCAAGTGCCCCAAAAATACGTGCTGGGCTGCTTGGGGGTGAAGCATAGCATTAACAGTATTGGAGACAGACAACCTACATTGTGCTATGTTATGTCAATATAAGGACAGATACTGTGAGATAGGCTGRGATGGGGAAATAGGATTATTTTGGCCCAGCCAAAGCATCCTGCAGCTTTCTCCACCTGGTATTTTCTCACAGACACCTGAAGAAACTCACAGAAGAGAATGGCAAAGGGGAACTGAACACTGACAAAAGGACTCCCTAAATCAGCTTGCAAAAAGTGCCTGTGCAGGGCTAGACACGGCTTATGCAGGGTTAGGTTATCAGCACTCGACACTGTGCCAACCAGTAGCCGTGGAGTGAATCCTCAAGGTTACCATCAGATAACAGCTCACTGCTGAGCAGATGGGAAGAAATATGGTGATGGGGGAGGGCTGGTGCTTGAATGGCCAGCAGCAGCCCTCTCTGTCCTCCCTGCTCTTGGTGTGCTACTTTTTGGGCTCAGGTAGCTCAGAGTCGCTGCTGCGGTGCCAGAAAAGTGATGGGGTGTCCTGTGGGGAGCAACAGTAGATGGAAAGGTGCTGGCAGCTGCAAAGGAGGATTTCCCAGGGTGGTGAGAGACTATCAGCCCTCTTATTAGGGATGACTGGGGTGGGGCATGCTTGCCTGGGAGGAGACATGGTGGTGACCACATGGCTTATGAATTTTGGCAGCAGACTGGGACTGTTTACGGCACTAGCAGCATGCAATCTGATGATCACAGCCTTTATTATTATTTCTCTTTCTTTTGGAAACATCCTCTGTCTATTAATCGGTTAGRAAATCTGGTCACAGCTCCACAAAGTTTTTTATCAATAAAATAGCTGCATTTCTACTTCCCTTCTTACTTCAGAGCAGCACACATAAGAGGTTTTGGCCTGACTGCTCCTACAAGCAGAACTTGCTGAGACTTCTCCAACTGGGAAGTGCTGTCCAGCGTTGTAAAACAGCATATGACAAGAGGTGCTACTGGGAGACAGAGAAAAGCCTGCTGGGCTTGCCCTCACAACCAGAGGTGTGMCACCAAACTCAACACTACCTGTTTAGATAGAAAGAGAACACATTTTCTGGGATCAGCTTCTGGTCCATGACGTTATCGAAGAAAGGTGTGACGTCCTGCACAGAGATCCTTTTGTATGCCAGGCCCAGGATGCCATCAAACTTGGCAGCGATGAATGTCGTGCCTGGCTGCTTCGTGGCCTCCCCAAAGACCTGATGCTGGATTTTCAAGTCACCAAGCTGTGGGGAGATGGGGAGGGAAGGGAAAAGTAGATGGTAAAGAAAACAGACTCAGGAAACCAGGGTGGTAATGGAACCTTACTGAACACAGGATGTGGCACATCCCTCAGTGTGCTGCCACACTCCTGCCCATTTTCACCATTGCATTTGTAGGCAGCTGCAGAAACCAGATAACTGGTGCCACTCTTGCCAGGGGAAGAGACTGGCAACTCTGGCTCAGTGGAACCTCCTGAGTCCCTGAAAAGCCTGGCATACCTCTTAGGGCATGAGAATCCTTYTAGCCTTTTGCAGTGTCCCAGCACTGGCCTTGCTGCTCTGTAGCCCGTCCTCTTTGCACAGAGGACCCATACTTCTTTGTCCYTCCTACAGCTCCTCCCCTATCACCCACTTAATCCTTTCCTTTTAGTCTGMAAAGTTCTAGTGTTATGCCTTTTAATCCTCTTCTCCACTCTGGACATCTTCTAAGTCATCTGTGTATCCTACCTTCTGGGGTGCTGCACCCGTCCTCGCTTGGGAGCACAAATCCCTCTCACCTCAGCCCACAACCCCTGTGATCTCTCCTATATGAGAAATATCCCCAGGATATTGCTGAATCTCTTGAAAGAGCCACCAACCTGCAGAGAMCTCCCATGAGAGGGGAAAGGACCCAGCCAAGAAAGCGAGGTTGAGCCTGAAGCACRAAAATAGCAAGCAGAGTACTGAGAATTCAAAGGTCACCTCTCTTGCCCGCCATGAGAAGGACTGGCATTCCCCACTGGAAAGCTGAAATGCCCTGCAAGGGCAGATCCCCAGAAAGATGATCAGAGAAAGCACAGCTCTGCTCATGGGGAGCAGGACACATCTGCTGGCTCCTGGCTCTAGGAGCTCAGGAGGCTTGTGAGCTTCTGSCTGACCACAGGCAATTTTAGCATCCACGCTAGGACAATTTCAGCCTCTCAGCCTGCAGCTAGCAGTCCTGTAGTGAGCCAGGCTGGACTGACAAGCTGGCTTCTCCTACCTGATGGCAGATAACGATCCCTGCAAATTAYTAATATCCCCCCAGGGTTAGACAATGCAAGGCTGGGACAGCAGTGCTGCCTTTAATGGTATTGAGGATTGCACTAGGAAAGGGCGATCGAGCCTTGCGAAAGCTAAAAGCCACAGGGCAGGATGTGGGGGGAAAGAGCACGCGGCRAYGCATCCGCTTGCTGGTGTGCGCCCCGGTTGTACTCTGCAGGTTTACCAAAGCCACCCCTCGGCACGGCTGGTCCTCAGCAGCTCAGGAAGTTTAATAAAGCTTCCACTTYAAAAAAAAGAGTAAAATGCAATGGACTTATAACACTGAGTGCCAGGTTTGTTTGAATATTGCCCCTGCTTGCACATCCCAAGGGGGAGGCAGATACCGGCTCAGTCATGGATTCTCAGCAGACCCTGCCTGTATTTGGTCCTCAGCAGGACTGAAACCCAAGACCATTTCTAGCAGAGTGCTGCTGCCACRTGGCAGATCCTTTGCCTCTGTCCCATGGCTGGCTCTCATCCAGACACTGAGCAACCAAAAACCATGTCCAGTGGATGGCCATGTGGTGGCCACCCTCCAGCACTTTGCAGACAGGTGTCGGCACTCCACCGCTCACCCAGCCTCCTCATTAGTAGCCTCAGCCAGTGGGCAAGCAATGGATGGCAAAGGCAGACCAAGAGGTGAGGGACTTTGTGGCACGATGTGACACCAGGGCTTGGGGTGCAGAGGCACAGGGAAGAGGCAAGGAAAGTCATCTCCCGAGCAGTGTATCTACAAGTCATGGCAGAGACCTCGTGTGCCATGGTTCCTCTGCTGTCCCTGAAGGTCATCCCAAGGTCGGGCCATGATAGAAGGATGAGACACCTGAGCAGCACAGGACTGGTTGAACCCATTGCTCTTTGGAGAGCCAGCAKCACTGTGGAGTGTGGCACTACTGAGCCACTACTCTCCTCCACAGAATGAGAGAGGATGTTCAACATGAGCTCATCGTTCTCTCAAATAAACAATAAAAAAAATCAGGGCTGAGGGACTCTGAACTACACACCAACAAGCATCTTTTGGTCAAATGTCAGTCCTAGCAGAGGTTGTTGTGGCTGCTTCCACTCACCAGAATGACCGGAGCCAAGAGGGTCACCCTGAAGGTCATCTCAATGTCTTTATTTCCAGACTACACCTGACTGGGAGCTTGCCTACAACATATGCATCACACTAGGATGCATCCTAGCATCCAAGCTGAAGGTCCCAGACCCTCAGTCACCCTTGCTCCTGCCTACTACAAGTGAGACACTGCTCAGCTCCATGCAAGAGGTTTCTCTTGCTCCTGTGCAGACAGAAACCAAACTCTACAATCTGTGCTCTTGGATGGCAAAGAGCCATCCCCACTTCCCGAATAAACTGAGGCACAAAATCCTTTCTCTGAGCTGCTGGGAAGTGCAGAGCTAATTAGCAAACAGGCATAAGGGTGACAATTACAAAACAAAAAAAAGAGAAAAAGCTGCAATTTTCTTTYTGACTCATTTCAGCCCCTGCATTAAGCCCACACTTTTTAAGGATAATAAAGTTTGCTTCTTTGGATGCAGCGTAGAGGCAATGTCTGATGATTCCAGACTAGCCTGAAATCTTCATGTTGTAGCAATGGGCTAAAGAGTGCATCTTTCAAGAGTCACACACTTTAGGCTTCTCCTGGATTTTTTTTTTTTTTTGATTCTGATGGAATTGATAAGCCAATACTTTTCAGCTGAATTTAAACAGAAACCTCCAAATACCCAGATTTATGTGCTTATTCAAAACTTTTGCTACATTTCTCCCCCCTGCAAAGCAAACACATGCTCCTCTCCCTGCCAGGAGAGCAAGTAATCTGAGAGCACACGGACCCCTGAYGTCTGGCAGCTGGCAAACTCTCCTGAGCATCTGTACCTGGGAGGAAGTCATGAAAGGCACTTGCCCTTCACAGGACAGAAAGCTCAGCATTTGCTTGCTGAAAAGGAAATTGAGAAGAACCATCACTCAGCAAACTGAAGCTGGCCCCTGAACACTGTGGGGGAACCTCCCCCCAGGGTGTTACCCAGCCGTTACAAGCATAAGCACCAGTTCTTAACACAAGACCAAGATGGGGCAGTAAGAGACCTTTTCTGGTCTRCGTTTGAGCAGCTGCTCATGTGGGTATCCACTAATGTGTGGATATTGGTCAGGAACAAGCTGGGCACCACCAGCAGTCTGTGCAGTAATGCTAGCATGTGCTTGGGCTGGTAAGTTTCTGRGGTCAACAAGAAGAGGGCGGGAGAGCCAGAGACCATATTTGCAGGGGCACTATATGAGCAGTGCCCGCTCCCAGCCTGCTGACCTGAAGATTAGTAACTTCTCCCTTTTCTGCCTGCCACGGTTATTGTTACCTGAACACAGTCATCATCACACCATGCTGTTTCAATAGACTTGGAAACAGAGCACTGAAGGATGAGTAGGACACTCAAGAAAGGAGACCCATTGCAATCAAACAGCTTTGAGCACTCTACTGAAAGCAGCTGGGGGCAGCTCAGGGCAGGGGCAGTCATAACTCACCGTGACTGTGTCTGAACTGAGGAATCCAGACAAGCTCCCTGTCCCATACCGGATGGCAAACTTAGTGCCGTTCTTCACATAGGTGCTGGATTTACCGGAGTCGTACTTGTGGTGCAGCACTGCAGCCAGGAAGGGGGGACACAAGGGGACACACAACATTAGTGTTCCTTGATACCTACGGTTCCACAATAACTAACCCACACCACCCAGCTTATCTGGACAAATGGGCACTCAATGATGTGAAGATGGGTCTGAACCAAGCATTTGCCAAGCCCAGACTGCTTAACAAAACATTTCCAGTGTCTGGGGAATTAGGTGGGCAGATCCAATTCAGGCTGCTAAATCCGATTTGGCCACTGGGTATTAAAAGCCTAGAGGTTACGTGGCTGGTGTGGTGTGTTAGTCAGCAAAGCGTAATGTGTCCTTCCCCATAACATGGAGAACTGGGGTGGGCTTAAATACAGCCTGCTCTGGGCATCAATATTTTAATCTCATAGACTTATCTGTTTCTTTCAGTAAAACTAGCYGGAAATTTTTCATACATTGTTTTTAGTAGAGAGAAAGCTCCAAATATTCCTTTATTTGCAGAGGAGAAGGGCTTTCCCCTAGTCTAASCTGCTTTTCCCTTTGGATAGATTGGGAGCTGTAAGGAATCCCTGTTTTTGTGGCCAGGCAGATTCCTCCTCAACAGACTCCTCCCAAGTCAAGAGCTGGCCAGTGCAGGTCCAAGGCTGGCTGCTGAGTGGTCCAGGCAGCAGCTGAGGATGAACCAGCCAGGCCCTACACAAAGTGASAGTGCTACACAAGGAGTTTCCCAGCTGGGCTGTCTGGGTCCCAACTTAGATTCCAGTCTGGCAAGAGGTTAAGCTACTTGTATATTCATAAAACAAGCCCTTTGGTCCCAGCACCTCCCGAGGCACTCCCATGAGGAACCAGCTCCCTGCTACAAATTAGGAACCCCCGAGACAGAGCAGATCTGGACCTCACCACCCTGYTGCTGTACTCAATCTCATTTAATGTATGTATAAAGAAGATCTGTCTTCTCTCTGGGCACTACAGAGCCATTCAAGAAGTCCAAATTTCCACTCTACTCCCAATGAGCACTGTGGAATACCTTTCATGGTTGCATTTGTTGACTCCACAGGTTTCTCCACTTTGCTTAAGTAGCGCAACCAGCGGCTTTTAAATGACATTTTACCACAGCCGTGTTTGACATCTTCAGCTGTGGAGGTTTATTGCATAGGAACACCACAGAATAATAAAAACTTGTAGTCCCTGTGACATTCTCATTTCATTGTGCCTACCTGGCTCTTGTTAATTATAACTCCACAAACATGCACGCACATGCTCTGTGCAGCAATAAACCAGAAACTAGGACAGTTTGTATCAGATCTGGCAAGAGGCTGACTTAAAACGAGTCAGCCTTGCAAAATAGGATAACAGCAGCATTGGTCTATAATTTGGGGAGAAACATCACAACTGATGATGCTGCTCCCCTGCTGCAGGGCCGAAGCTATTAGAGATCTGGCCCTGTGGGGGGGGGGACTTGGAAGGGGAAAAAGCCAGAAAAGGGCTAATGAAGGATAGATGCAAGAAGCTGGGATTGTATTTCCAGCACTAACCCTAAAAAGCCCATCAGCCTCTGGCAAGCCCTTTCGTGCTGCTGCCTCAGTTTCTCCTCTTGCAATGCAAGACACTGCATTTTGCAGGGAAGGAAAAGCTGTTGAGCAACGTCTGGCACYCATGACACTTACTGCAAGCGATGTCCAACATGGAACAGCGCACGGATGGCACCCAGAGGTTGGAGGAGCCAGTGTCAAAGATCACAGTGAAATTCTGGGGGGGTGTTCCAATGCCGATCACACCGTAATACTGGGCCTGCAAAGGAAGAAAGGAGCCATGAGCAGAGGAAACYGGCCAAAAGCAGGAATTAAAGATCAAAAAATCTCTTAAGGTTCAATAGAGGACCAGCTTCTTATCTAAACATTGCCCTTCTCCTTGTTTTTGGCACTGATGGGTTCCCAGACTATGTCCTCTGGAARGGAGGTTCCTCTTCAGTGTTCACAACTCATTACAGTGGGCGTGAAAAGGATAAATTGAGGACAATGGGATGGGTGYGTGCGGGGGAGGACATCTGGGGCAAGGAGACAGGGAAGAAGGGGGAAGGTCTGCAGGCTATCATGAAGTTCACTACAAGGATGGGAAAAAAAMCATGGAAGAAAGCCAAGCAAAACACCTGCGTTATTGAAAAGCTGAAACTGGCTGGGAAGCTGCTTTGCTCGTAGGTTTGCAGAGAAACTGTGGGTTGCAGCGAGCAGCAGCACCGCACACTGCAGGTGGAGGTACAGCTGCCAGGGGTTTTGGTGCTTGCTGGTGAGCTCCTGGGATGGGGGTTATAAACAAATACTCAGTTTCAAGAGCTAGAAGACCAGAAGAGTGGTGGGAGCAAAGGGCATCAGCAGCACCACCAGAGGTGGATTTAGGCCTACAGGGTGAGAGACTGGGAGAAGTCCCTACAGCACAGGTACCTGATGGACACCCGTTTGCACTGCGACTGCATTTCTGCTGGGACTGAAAGAAAYTTGAATGGCTGAGTTGTTGGCAAGGTATCCTTCTATCCAAAGAGGAGAGGATGAATGGAGAATGCAAGGCAGGTCCTACATGGAGTAATTTTTCCCAGTCCTCCAAAACAGGCAAGGAGCTGTGTCTTGCCTAGTGTGCAACTGGCTCAGGGTCCTAGAGAGAAGGATGCTAGCAAGGGAAGTTGACCAGCAGCCGTTCCAAACCCCCCGTGTACTCAGTTAAAGGGGGGGGGGGGGGGGGGGGGTAAGAAAACAGGATTATCAAAGCTGTTCAACTCCTGTGCGCTTAGTTTGCAAGGGTTCCTCGCTGCGTAATAAACAATTCATTTCAATTAGCCATAATGGGGAGGCAGCACTTGCTTCCAGTGTTCTGTAATTACTGCTTGGGCTTGAAAATGAACCCCCGGTACAGGGGCCCTGTTTGTCACATACACAGACCCATGAAGAGTCCCAGGGGCTGACAGGGAGCATACAAGCAGGCTAGTGGGGGATTGTCCCAACAGCTCCTTTGACAGCAAAAGCATTTTCAGCCAGGCCAGGAGGGACCCAATGGTCCCTTATCTGCCACCACAGGTTGGGTTGGTGCCCCTGTGACAAGGGAGAACAGTGCCACCCTGAGTGGTGGTCTGAGCTGTGGTTACAAGAGACAACACCGTGACACAACCACTTGCCCTGGCTTTCAACACTGCCAACTGAAACACCGGTGGCCCTTCCCCGTACAGGACAGCAYTGGCTGGGTGACAAAAGCCCCATAGGAAGGGCAGCAATGGGGATACATCCTGAATTAATGCCTGAATAGCTGGGTCCAGCTTTTCTCTACCAGCCAATGCTCACACYCTACCCTGCCAAGAGCTGTGAATGTACCCGATAAGGAACCCTGAAATAGTAAACCCCACACGTGTCTCGCAGCAGGGCAAGGGCAAAACTGCATGTCCTTTATCTGGCTTCTCCTTCCACCACCACACASGTGCCTTTGCTCCCTAAGTTGCTGAGAAGAAAGTGGAGGTAAAGGGTGGCTTTTCCCAAGGCAGTGTAGAAGATGAAAGAGGGAGGGTCCTGCATGCCCAGTCCCATAGTAAGCTAGTGCCCAATTTGAGCCCTCTTCCGCTACCCTATGGTCACTCATTTGTGCCTTAATGCCTCAAAGAGTAGAGCACGATTTTTACTCCGTTGTCTTGCCAAAAGGAGAATCCAAATGGCCAGATGATGCTAGGAAGGATTGTAAGTCAGCAGGCCCCTATTTATGATTGTTAATTAGTGACAAAGGGGAAAGAAAATAGGTCACAAACTGAAATTCTCCTGCTTAGGTGGCTGTGGGTTGTTTGTTGTTATAATTACTAGCATTAGTATTTTTAGTTTAGTAATGATAGGAAGCACCTTTTGGCATCCACTCACTAAGCCGTGGGGGTGCATGAATCTGTTCTACAGGATCAACAACCTCTCCTTCTTTTGCCTTCCCGGCTGGTGGGAGGCTGGCATGTCTCACCACTCCCTGGGATGGGTACCCCCCTAAGTGACAGCCACTTGCCCAGCATTGTGCTGGAGTTCACTGCAGCAGGGGGGGTGGCTCGCAGGAGGGCTGTTACTCACATCCATGTAATTCTTCAAAATCTCTGGAGTGGGCTCACCGTCCTCGGCAAAGCCCAGCTTGTATTTGAGGGCCTGGGTGATAGAGTTCGTATCTGGGATCTCACTGCCCGCCTCGGTCAGGATCTGCCGCATGGAGGGGAACTTGGTCAGGGGGATCCTGTGTGGGGACAGAAAACATACACGTGTTAAAGGGGGTGTGTAGGGAAGGAATCCATAAGGRAGGGGGGCAGCAGGGCTCCACTCAAAACAAGGGACGCTCCAGCAGAAGGCGGGTGGGGTTTGGGCTCCCGCCAGCGCCCTACGCTAGACCCCCCCTCGCCGTGCTGCGTYCAGTGTTTTTCCCACAGCCGAAGGATGAGGGGAAAGGCCGGCGGGCTGCCAGAGGTTACAGGGTGTAGGGAAGCTGGGGCGAGACCCCTCCACGGGCAGGACGGGGGGGGGTCCGGACCTTCCCCCCTGGGTCTGCTTTGATGGAGGGCGCGCCCCCCGCGTATGGCGGTGTTTATGAGAGGAGCCCGGAGGCCACCGCTGCACCAGCGTGCCTGTCCCATGTCCCCCCCAAGCCGGGAGACTGAGCAGCCCCTGAGGAACCCCTCCTCTCACCTGATAAGGGCGGCGCAGGACCCGGCCAGGGCGAGCAGCAGCAGGAGGCCGCGGGGACCCATGGCGGCGATGGCGCTGGTGGCGGCGGYGGCGAGCGGTCAGAGGCTGGAGGTGCAGGCGCTGAGAGGCCGCGACGCCGCTCTGGGTTCTCGTCCCTGTTTTTGTAGGGAGAGCGGCCCCTCTCCACGGATTCTGGAGTCAGCTGACGGTCTAAAATTGCAACCGGCGGCGTCACGTGAGGGCGGGCCGGGGCGGGGAGCGGGCGAGGGCCGGGGGCGCCGCCTCACGGCCCCCCCRGGCTGACCCCCGGCGCCTCGGGCCGTGACTCAGCCCCTGGGAAAGGGGAATAAACACCATGAAATCAGTCACGAGATGCCCGCCCGGCCGCGCGTGCTCCTTCTGGACTGCCTTTAACTTCCTTCTGCTTGGTGGTTTTTTTCGTTCTTTCCAAGTTTTCTGGCTTTTGGTTTTTTTTCTCTCAGGGGAGTGGAGAGGGGGATGCACGACATACGCGCTGCTCCAGGCAGCAGAGCCCGAGTCCCGGACCTCGGCCRCCCACCCGCTGTCAGCACGGGGGTTTCACTGTGCACCGCTGCCCCCAGCCCCAGGTTTCTCCCTGGCCCCAGGATCTCTTCAGTTTGGGGGACTCAGCCCTCCGAGCTCGGCCTTTCTGGGGAAGATGGGCACGTCCTAGGCCACAGCTTTTTTGGGAGCTTGGGGGGATTGCCTCCCCTCAAAATGCACTGTGGTGGTTTTGGGCCACCTGCAGCCCTGGAGAGCGATGCTGGTGCAGGGCAGAGCCCGGGCAGGGGCAGCGGCCACCAGCAGACATCCCCTCACCAGACTGAGCATCGGGGACCAACAGGATGGGCTCTTTGCCACCATCCAGATGTCATAACTGGGCTTAGAGATGTCACCCCACCTCAGGAGGCAGCAGCCACAGCTAACCTCTGCCCAGATTACCCCGACTAAGTCTTATAGTGCCACAAGACCTGTTAGAAAAACAACAAAAATGAAATCGGATTTACRGACATTTTCCCTTCCAAATCCTAGGGCTAGGAGGGCTTGTTTTCTGCTCCTGCTTGTGCCCAGCCTTGGCRATAGGCAAGCAGTAGGCTGTGGGATGAGCTGGGTATTGCTGGAGTGGGGGACTCCTGGCTTTGCAGTGGGGTGCCCATCCTTCTCCTATAACATTCATTTTCATTCAGCTTCTGGAAAATTGCTGGGTCAYGTCGCTGGCACCTCACTTACGCCATCTCCTTCCCACACTCTGTCCCTGAGCCTGTTCCATCCTCCCATGGCCTCAYGCAGGATCCTACTGCCCTGGATTCATGCATGCCACCCCCCAGTTGTGGTCCATACTGAGTGTTTCTTGGGGGCATTTCTGCCCTGGGCTATACCTCATCCCATGAGCTCTCCAAATTGCCATGTCTTGGTCAAGCTGGTGAGCTTCAGGAAGCCTGTCACCTCCCTGGGGGACACGGCTTGCGTTGGGATGAGGTTTTCTGGAGCAATGGCTGGAGGCATTGGTTGAACGCGGTGGGTCCCGTTATTTTGGCCAGCTTCCTTCCTTGCCCCACAGGCATGTGGTCAAGCTGAGTGCYACTGACCATGAGTCAGCAAAACCATTGCTCTCCCGGCCCTGCAGCACTGGTGACTCAGCAAAACCCTGTGTGGCTCATTCAGGCAAGGGGCCAAGGCGTAGCGGGTCCCCAGCACCTGTCGGCTACCCCAGAGGCATCGCTGCTGCTGCTGCTGCTGCTGCTGTTTGGGATCCAGTTCAGGGTCTCCTGCTCTTGTCCCCCTGAGTGCCTATGGGCAGGAGTGAGTCAGACACAAACCAACCTGACCTCTGCCCCATCCCAGCAAACCCACCCTCCCCAARGGCTCTAAATGGCTTTGCAAATGTGTTTTGCAGACAAAAAGACAGTCCTGACGCCAGGCCCAGGGCTCCCCTACACYCCTTACAGGCTTTCCTGGAGCCTGTGGCAGAGCAGGTGAAGCACCAGCCCTCTTCCCTTCACTTTGAAGTGTCTGGGAACCTGTAGCTGGCCAGGCAACCTGTACCTTGGCCCCCGGGCTGGGGCACCTATGGCAGCTCCTCCTTGAGYGTTTCCAGTCAGGCCAGTCTCTCCCAGAGTCCCGTGGCTATGGAGTGGGCTCYAGTGTGCAGGGATGGGCTGGTGAGGGCAGCATGCCATACTAGTCACGTACCATCACACGGTGCACAGCAGAGTACTTCAGTAAAGAACTCTGGCCCCAGGCTGTGTCTGTTTTTTTCTAATTCCATGGGATTAAAGGCAATGTTATGAATTTGCTTGAGCTTCATGGTAGCAAGGCTTGTGTCCTCATCTGAGTCTGCTCTCATACCAGTGCAAGAGAGTCACTGCTTTCACAGGGTTCTAAGTGACTTACATGTCCCATGCTCCCTATGGTGTAKAGGAAAAAAGGGAGAATGGGGCTGTGTCAGGGAATGTTACAATACTGGTCCTCTCCTGGGTGCTTGCAGGATGGGAAGGGACTGAAGGGCTTATCCCCAGAGTTTTTCATCTGGCTCTGTCCCTTGGCACCAGTGGTTTTGGGGCTGACACTACAGTGCCTGCATACCGGGGGGAGTGGTGGCTCCAGCAAGGAGCCAGGATTTCTGCATTCAGGCTCCCTCAGCACCTCTGTGGAATGTTTGCCTTGATGTTAAAGCCTTGAGAGGTACAGCGGGTATGTTTAACCAGGAACTGGGAGCACGTCTGGGTATTTATAGGCTGGGACTGTGAGAGTTGCACCATATTATCTTAAAAAGATAGAGTGGCACAAGCGTGGGCTCAGGGTTTTTTACACATTTTTCCTTGTTTGTGGAGCAAACAGGGAGTGCCATGACTGAGGCGTTCTACAGAAGGCAGAAATGTGTGAGAGACAGAGGAGAGATCTATCCCTCCTCAGTTCTATTTTTGTCACGGTGGATGAACCCCTTCCCTTGGTGGTCTGTCTCCCTAGCCCCCTGCACCCCATCCCAAGGGGTGACCAGAGCATTGTACCCTGCAGCCGCAGCTGTGGGTGTTGGGTGACGCACCCCTGGGACCATGCCATGCTTTTGCAACCTTGGTGCCTGCTTGAGAGGATTCTCRAGGAGGGGTCAAGTGACTCAGCTCCAGCAGCTCCAGTTGGGAAGAGCGCCCCAGCCCGAGCTCTGGGAGTTTGGGGTCTCCTCTGCAARTGGTACCAGGGTGTCCCATCTGCCCTTTGCCACACAGGCAGGGACCTGATGCAGCTTAGTTTATAACATAGAATCCCTTAGGCTGGAGAAGATCCACCAGATCGTGGAGTTGAACCATTAACCCAGYACTACCAAGTCCACCACTAAACCATATCCCTGTGTGCCACATTTGCATGGCTTTTTAATGTGTTCAGGGATGGTGATTCCACCATTTTCCTGAGCATTCTGTTCCAATGCCTKATCATCTTTTCAGGGAATAAATTTTTCCAATATCCAGTCTAAAGCTCCCCTGGCACAACTTGAGGCCGTTTTCTCTCATCCTGTGATCTATTACCTGGGYAAACAAGCCCCCACTTCAGTACAGTTCCCTTTCAGGCAGTTGGAGAGAGTGATGAGGTCTCCCCTTAGCCTCCTTTTCCCTAGGCTGAACAAGCTCAGCTCCCTCAGCTGCTCCTCATAGGACTTGTACTCCAGACCTTTCCCCAGCTCTGCTGCCCTTCTCTAGACATGCTCCAGACCTCAAAGGCTTTCTTGTAATGATGGGCCCAGTGCTGGACACAGGACTCAAGGTGTAGCCTCACCAGCACCCAGTACAGTGGGAATATCCCTGCCCTGGCCCCGCTGGCCACACTATTTATGATACGGGCAAGCATGCCATTGGTCTCCTTGGCCACCTGGGCAGACTCTGGCTCATGTTCAGTTTCAAGTGCCTTATTTTTGGGAGGTTCTAGCACGTCTCCCATTTGCAGTCTGGGAGCATTCTGCCAGGGCTGCTACAGTGGCCTCTTTGTCCTTTCACATGGCTGTGTTTGCCTTCACCTTTTCTCCTCAATGATTTTTTTTCCTAAATTTATTGCAGTGGYACGAATGTCATGAACTGCAGTGACCTACATGGCAAGGAAAGCTTCAGCTCAGAGATGCAGAGATTATTTTATTGCCCYGCTGTGGCTGGGATTTTTAGACGACATCTTCAAATTCAAAAAAAATGCATTTCTGATTTTGAAGCTCGTTGCTAAAAGAGAAAAGAAAACTTCCATGCAAGCTGAGCAGAGCCTGTGGGCACACAAGCCTGGGCAAGTCTGGTTTCAAACGCTGCCTCCGCCGGTGCTGGTGTGCAGGTGCTGGATGCAGCTCATTAGTGGAGCCTGATTCACCATCCCTGAGATCCCGAGTGAAGCAGTGGTAACTTTTTCCCGGCACMGTGCCAGGATCTCGCCCACTCCCTACGCCGTTTCCTAAACTGATGTACAATTGACAAGGTGAGGGTGCGTTTAGCAGTGGCGCTGGCACGTCCCAAACTACACCCTTTTCCAGGGTAACACCCACAAAAGCAGTCTAAAAGGTGGCAGCAGCTCCGGATGATGGGAAACCTGGGAGCAGAGGAAGGGTTGCACTGAGCACAACAAAGTGACTCATGCAGGCCCTGGCCATTGTGCCCCAGCTCTGTGGACACTGGGGAAGGTGTCCTTAGCATCATGGGTGGTGGCAATCCTCAGTCAGTTCATGCTGGCTGGCTGGGGCTGGTTTGGAGGCAGAGCTGGCCAGCAGCCTGCTCAGACATGTTCTGGCTGCCATCATGGGCTGCAGTGAACTTAGGGAAATGCTAAATGGAGTTGCAAAAGGCTGAGGCTAGGTGGTAATTTTTCCTTTAGTGTTCCTCATGCTGCAAACCATGATCCTGGTGGTGGGTGAGGGTGGCTCGCTGGTGGCTGGATGTCACGACACACAGCTGGGTGTCACAGCAGGCAGGAGCCCTGAGCATGGCTCCATCCTCATCAGGGCCCTTTGCATCAGCCTTTGAACATCGAGTGTTTTCACCCAGTGGACTTCTCCATCACATCTTGCTCTTCCATATTGTCCCTAGCTATTAAAAGCAAGCAAACAAACAAACAAACAAAGGAATTATGGTGAAATGTACTAATGATCTTTRAGACTGTGAGCTGCTCTGGTGTCTTCACTAGGTTTTACTTACACACTACCTTGCTTCAGAGGGCTGCTGCCAAACTTGACATCGCCTGTCCCTGTGTCCCACGCACTCCATGGCCCTGCCCAAATCCTTGCCACCCCCACACCMTCTGCCCGCTCTTGACCCTGCTTGGTGTTGGATGTTCTTCGTCATCCCCTGGCCCATCCTCGCCCATGGCTTGGTGACACACCTGGCACCCACCTTGGGGAGGAGGGGAACTGCGTCTCCCCGGCTGCTGGCCCTGTCTGCTCCTTGGGGCAGGGATCTCGCGTTGTTTGCCTCACCGAGTTATTYTGCAGCAGGTTGAAATTACCAGGGACGGGCAACAACAGTCCTGGCAGACGCTGGCAGCAGGCAGCGTGACCCGCGGCTGACAGGATGGGGTGGTAAATGGCAGTGATGGTATTGATTCATCCCCACCCACGCCAGGATGTGATGAGGAACGCAGGGACCCAACTCACCTTGTCACCACCTTGAGCAATTCCTTCTGCTGTCCCCCATTGTGAGCCTGGCTTGGGTCGGGGGRGTATTGGCATGCTGGTGGGGTTTCCATCATGATGGAGAGAAGTGCCTCCAGCCACATCCAAGCACATCATGCATTTAATTTTCTTTGCCAGCACTAGATGTCATTTAATTATTTCCTTTAGTTTCCAGCAGAAGCTGCCCTAAGAAGACCATCATTTATGCAATTATGTCTCCTCCGTGTGACAAAACACTGAAGCAATTGAGACTTCTGATCCTGAGAAGAGTGTGGGCTCAGAAAGATGAGGGTCAACACCCCATTGCAACCCAAGGATCAGCTTAAAAGTTGCAATGTATTTTCTTGGGATGGGAGCAATCAGCTCTCACTGGTGATTTGGTGAGTCAGTCTGGACCTCCTGGGGCAGTTTCTGCTTTGTCAATATTTCCATAAAGGCTCTGAATTCTTATTGTCACCTTCTGCTAAGCTCCATCTTGCCACCACAGCCCCTATTTTCAGTGTGATTGCCTGGGGTTAAGATCTTGAGCCCCATTTTAAGCATGTTGGCAAACAGAGTCAGTGGCTTTGCACACCCTGTCTCTGACCTTCCACATGTAGAACAGCCTGTTAATAGTTTTTTGCAGCGTGGGACGTGGCATCTCGGCCTCTTTGGCTGAGGACTCCTGAGTGTTTCTCAAGGCACACTGGCACCAGGGTGACTTAGGGTTAGGGCTATGGTCAAAAAAACTAAAGGTGCCTTGCTCCATGCTTGTGACAAAGGTGCTTGTAGGTTATAGGTGGAGGGAGGTGTGGGAGCATTCCTGGCAGACACTGCAGCTGCTCYCAAGTCCTGCAGCCTCCAGCATCCTCTCCTATTGCAGTCTGGAGTCAATGAAGCTGAACAGCTTGGACACTGCCACTGCGGATCTCTATTAGCAGATAAATACCCGCCAATCTTTCCTCCCTGCAGTACCACCATTTTATAAAGCCCTTTCTCTTGCTTAGCACTGAGTTGTTTTGTTTTTAGCATTGCAACCCTAAATTGGCTGGTGTAGTGAGTGGGGGATTAAGGGCACAGTCCTGGGCAAAGGTCTCCCACAACTCCTCGGGGCCAACCAGCTGCAGCCTCTKATCCCCAGGGTCACGCGCCCCACCCCGAAACAAGGGCCACTTGTTTGGCATTGCTGGCAGAGCAGGGCCCTGCACAGGMGGCAGCTGGCCTGCCTGTGGCTCAACAGAGTAGAGCCCACTTCCTTCTCTGGACCAGGAGGGTGTCTCAGAGGGGAACCCAGACACCAGGCAGCTTTGGCTGGGGTCACAGGGTGTTATTGGAAAGCAATGGTGAGAATCAAGTGCAGATCCTCAGAGTCCCCTTGGCACCCCTTTGTTCTTCTTTTCCTGGAGTGGAAAGGTGCAAAACCCGGCAGGGTTCAAAGGAAGCCTATCCATTGTGGTGACATGGTAGTGTGACCTGCTCCTGCTTTGCCCTGGCCAGCAAAATCTGAAATGGGTATCAGAGAAGCAYACCATGACCAGCCCCAGCAGCTAAACCCTCTTCAGGCTGCAGCAGCAGCATGAGACCCTAGGCCATCAGCAATCMCTTGAAGGAGGGAGCTTAAGATGCCTCAGAAAGACAAAACCTGAGGAGCTTCCCAAGCATTAATGAACTCGTTACAGATGCTTCTAAGACAAAAGCAGCAAGTTTGTCCTTGCAGCAGGGCATGAAGCTGCAGCAGTCCCTGACAGAAGGTGTTTTTGATGCTCCGTCTTTGGAGCAGGGCAATAAGGGCAGTTTTGATGCTACAAGCTTGAGCCATGGCCTGAAGCAGCTGCACTTAGCCCCATATGATGCAACCACCAAAGCCCAGAATTTCCTTCCTTTTTTCCTATTTTGTGCACTGTTTTGCCCTGTCATCCTSCAATGTGCTGACAGTGCTGGAGGAAGGCATGTGGCGCTTTCCCCCTGCCTCAGCATCCCAYACATGCAGCAGCTCACATGCGCCTGTCTCACATCGCCTGTCCCTTGACTCAGCTGATTTCCTCTCACCCAAGGCAGTGACCAAGCTCCTGCTGCCCCATCCAGGCACTGGCAAATGCGATGGGTTGGAATGGTGGAGGGTGTCCAGCACCACTGTCACCCCCAGCACTGTGTCCGTGTCCCCAGCATGGGTTGCCACGGAAGCAGCTGGCAGTGCATGGCAAGCAGGGCTGGAGGTGGGTGCTTGGATCACTGCAGTGAGCCTGGTGGTATCTGACCTGCAYGAAAAGTGGGACAAATATCTGCACCTGCTTACTGGGCATGTTTGGAGCATCCTGTAATTAATGTTTGCTCAGCTGACGGCTGCTTAGCGTTATTAGCGGATGATGAGTGGCTGATGTTGTTGATGTTGCTACCTCGAAACATCTAATTTCAGCATCTGTACTGAGCAAAAGGGACAGGGCCACACTGCTGGTGCCAAGACCCTGGCARGCTTTGATTCTTTGGAGCTGGCTTCCTATTCAATCTGTGCACATGGGCATCCCTGCCCTGCCCTGGCAGCCCTGAGTTTGGACCCACATGGTGGCCATGATGACAGGGACAGGACCTGCCCCAGTGGCATGGCAGGGCCAGCAGCTCCCCTTGCTACAGCAAGATGCACAGAGTCCCCATGCCCAAAGCAGCAGGAGTGTGCTTAGAGACAGATACAAGATGATATTCAGGGGCTTCATCCAAAACCCACAGAAAGTTTCTTRTGTATTTAAGCCATTTTGATGAACATGTCTAGCACCTCATAAATAAATGAATGTGTGCAAAGGAGCACTGAGTTATCCCACCCTTCCTCCCACATGAGCTAGACACAAGTGTGAGGAACAAGCACTCATATTGGGATGCTTGTTTATTTATTTATTGGGGATGAAAAAGCATTGGTGACAGCAACACTTGGGAAGCCTTTAAAAATATTTTCTGATTACACTGAGATTAAAAAAACTAAGCCAGCATCATCTTTATCTCCTTGTCCATAATCCCGCTGCCGCCTGAGCAGCCAGTCTGTGTTTTTTTACGAGGCATTTCTGGACAGCTGGCAGGGATTTGAGGTGTCATGTCCCCAGGCAGTACAGTGGCCTCTAGTGGCAACTCACATCCAGCCCTGGGGAAAGAAACCTGCAAGTGAACCTTGCGSATTCCTTGTTCTCCAGGAAAATTAACAACTTGAGTCCAAACTGCCGAAGGAGAGGCAGCTCTGTATGGGGGTGGTGTGATGTCAGGAAGAGAACGGAGCACACCCACGGACCCCATGTGCAAGGAGCAGCAGCTCCTGAGACCCCCACCCACRGCCCTGGTGATCCATTTAAGGTTGGCAGCAGCACCCAGTCCTGCCCCTGCCCCTGGCCCTGCAGTGCTGGTCGCAGCCCCGGCTCCTCCATGCCTTGTGCTGCGGGCAGCCCGTCTCCAGTGCCCTCTCCTGGCTGGACAGAAAAACTGTTGCCTTGAACGGCCAGTTTTTAATAATGACACAGACACGGTTAATGGGATAAAAAGGGTTTTACCTCGGTATTTGGGATCCCAGGTGCACAGCTTGATGGCAGAATGCACACCCGTGTTGAGCATGGATACAAGTTTTATAGATCTCAGGAATTAGCGTATCTATTTAGGATTCCCCAATAAGATACTTAACAAATGCAGTAATGTCCCCCTATTCTAATGAATCCCCCCAACCCCGGATGAGTCCAGAGCCCAGTTTACACAAGATGTTCTGGACAGAAGGCTTCACCCAAAGCTGGAGCCTCGGGTTTAAGACAGCACAGGGCACACTGACTCCTTCCTGAGGATGTTTGATCTCTCTGCCCAGCAGAACTCCTAAACTAAGCTGGAATAATGGCTACAGCAATTATAAACATGGGCTAAGGGGTACAGGGGGATGCACAGAGGGTACAGAAAGTGTAAAAAGGAAAAGCACAATCATCAGGCATCACTGGACCTGTTCTCCAGTCTCCTGGATGGACCTCAGCACTGGGTTGCAGCCTTGTCCCTGTCTTGCAGCTCCAGGAGCTGTGTGTGCTACAGGTCTGTCTCCTGAGAGCCCTCTGTGAGCAGTCTGCATGCCTAAGGAAAGCTGTCTTGTGCTATAAGCTCTTTTATGAGGAGGAATGGCTTGGGTTTTCTTTCTTCAACCCATTCATCCATTTCTAAAGGCTTTGTAGCTACTTTACAGTTTTGGATTCTTTCTCCCTCTTCTGAGTTTGGCTGGAGCTGCCTGAAGCACTTGCTAGCACATCAGTCTCCCCAGATCTTTCCTTCTCCACCAGGCTGAATGCGTCTGGTGAGGCAGGGTCTTAAAGCCTTAGCAGAGACCCTGGGAATAAACCACAGAATCATAGAAAGGTTTGGGTTGGGAGAGACCTTAAAGATCATCCAGTTCCAGCCAACCTGGTGTGAGCAGGGACACCTTTCACTAAACCAGGTTACTCAGASCTCCAACCAACCTGGCCTTGAACACTTCCAAGGTTGGGGCACYCACAATTTCCCTGGGCAACCTGGTCCAGTGCCTCACCACCCTCACASTAAAGAATTTCTTCCTAATAYCTAATCKAAACCTGCCCTTGTTCAGTTTTAAGCCACTCCCCCTTGTTCTATCATTACATGCTCTTGTAAATAGTCACTCTCCATCTTTTCTGGAGGCTCCCTTCAGGTCCTAAAACGCCACAACGAGGTCACCCTGAAGCCTTCTCTTTYCCAGGCTGAACAATCCCAGTTGTCTCAGCCCTTCCTCATAGGAGAGGTGCTCCATCCCTCTAAACCATCTTGGTCACCCTCCTCTGGTCCTTCCTGAGCTGCTCCATCTTTAAGACAGTCCAAGCACAGCCAAAACTACCATTTTTTTCTTGCTTCCTTCAGCTCATGTGTGTGGCATTAGCTTCACTTATTTCTTTGAGAAAAGTCCCCAGGTCCTACACGGCAGGTAGATGTAGTCCTCAGTGTCACAGCAAAGGTRTCCTTCCATCCTGGAGCAGTTGCATTTTTTGGCTTTATCCTAAGACACAGAGGACCTCATATCAGGAGCAGAAGTGCACYTCAAGCTTTGCATGGAGTCCATGCTCTTGTGCCCTTTCCCTGAGATTTGCTTGCTGCACKTTAGGAGGTCTTTTCTTCTCCACCAGAAGGTTTGCCTCCCAACTGTCCCAGTCCCCTGTGCTGCTGGGAAGGGACTGCTGGCCAGCAGCCCATCAGCAGGAGGGGACCCAGGCAGAGGGTACACCCACATTTTGAGCCCCTTGGATGTTATGAAGGCCATCATCGAAGAAAATGTGAGGCTGGATCTGGGCGAGAATGGGGCCCTTGGGAGCCCCGTCCATGAAGAAAGCCTCGTCGATGGGCAGACCCCATTCCCGCAGTGTCTTGATGGCTCGGATGCCCATGTCCCGGCCACTGCGGGCAGTCACCAGGTAGGTGCGGATGGGGGATTTCTCCTGGCTGAACTTCTTTCTCATCTTCCCAAGGTGCATGGCAAAAGCCTTCAGGGGACCCTGGAAGCACAGCAAGACAGTTGGGAGTGTGTGGGAAATGAGGAAACACCTACTCTACCTGTACAAGCCACTTGTTCCTCTTCCATGGTTTCTCAGGGCTCTGYGGGGCACAGGAATGCCTGTGGGCTGCAGGACTGGACAGTGCTGGTGTGGTGCGTAGGGTCCTTGGGAGGAAAGTGAACCTTGTGATGCTCATCCTAATCCTCAAGTCTCCARGAAGGTACATCCCAGCAAACAGTGCCTCTGGGTCGGAGTCCTGCAGGGACTTGGACAGCAAGAGGTCACAGCCTACAAAAGCTGACGCTGGGAGTAACTACAATCCTAGATATTTAGGAACTAATGCTTACTTATAGGAGGTAAGAGATCTATTTCCAGTGGGACTCCAGATCAGGCCCACACCACAGACTGAGCGGTGGATGCATGGGGAATTTGTAAGARTTTGTGCTTTTTTAGCTGCTCATGGCAGAGCCGTAGCAGGAGAGACGGCAGAGCCTGTGGGTGCCCATGGAGGCAAGGTGGCATGCTCACCTCTCCTATGGGCACAGCCTCCATCTCCCGYTCGTACTGCAGTGCCCCCTCCAGCCCCTGCTCCTGGAAGATCAGGTCCGTCTCATCGGAGAAGAGCACGGCATCCCCATCGAACACCACACGCAGGGGGGTGCTGGGGGCCTGCACCTCTTGCTGGAAGACGAGCGCTGCCGAGACCCCTGTGAGACAGAGCAAGGTGGGGTCAGGAGGGACACCCCTCCTGGAGGCAGCTCATGCACAGCCAGCTGCTCCCAACACATCCGCTGCAGCCCTGAACCACATCCCCACGCCAGGGTCTCCAAGCCAGGCAGCTTTTTGGGGAGTCAGCCCAGCCTTTCCAGGATTGTGTAATCCCCTGAGAAAGCGCCGCTGATCAGAAACCGAGGTCTGGGGAGATACCGAGGTGTGCTAAGAGATAGTGGGTGGTTGTCAAGGCATGAGCAGCCCTCCTCCTGGTGCTTGCTCACCCTGCCAAGCCTCAATCTTTAACACCCAAATTTAGCACTCTGTGGTGTGAATAATATGGACTGGCATCTCCATTGATTGTGGTAATTGGCTTAATTACAGTCTCTTCCGACAAGCTGCTCCCTGCCCACCATCATGTGTGAACCCAGGCACCCAGATGGGAGACWCTTGTCAGAGCAATGATACTCTCAAGGAGGTTCCAGGAATGTGTTGTGTAGTGAAGGAAAGTCCAGGCTGCAGATGGCTTGCTCCTGACTTTGAAGGACGCTGGCCAGCTGATGTGTTCATACCCAAGTGAATTAATAAGAAGGTGATTAACCCCATTAGAGCAGCTGGGGACTCTGCACTCCCTCTGATCGAGGTGAAACATGTGCTTACACCATCACTGAGCGCACCGTAACTCTGCATGTGCCAAGGCAGAAAATCTCTGTGGCACCCTCACAAAGTCCTGGGAATCACTGATAAACTCTCATGGATGAATGGAATTGTATCTTTGGTTAGAAAGGTTTAAATGTCAGGCAGGGAATGAGCAGCCCATTGTGGAGCTATGTCCAGAATGATGCATAATGCACTCAGTGACTTGTGAGGGCATCTGAGCAACCCTGGGGTATTTGAAGGCCACTGGTAAGGGCAGAAGTGGAGACTGAACTGTTCAGGATTGCACTGATAATCAATGTGCCATTCACCCCTTGCTCTGTGAAATCACAGGCTCTGGCGTTGCCTCTTGGTACTGAGCTGCTTGGGAAAAGTGTGGTGGGTTTAGGGACGTGGAATGATGGGAAGAACACACCTCTCCGGAGGGCGTTGCAGACATCAGTCCTGTCAGCTGAGAGGAACAGCTTGACGCCGTGGGACTTGAGGTACTGTGTGGAGTCCTCATCACTGACGAAGCAGAACTTGGAGATCTCCAAGCCTTGAGGAYAAGGGACGTGAGTGAAGTTATATGGAACAACATCCTCCCCACAGACCCCTGCTCCTTCACTGGATCTGGGTGTGCTTTGCTGCAAGACCTCCCAGTGCTGTGTGGGGAGCCTGCCTGTGTTCTTGCTGCATCTTCTTGACTTGCTGTTGCTCCTACAAAACTGCAGAGTGCAATTAAATATTCCTTCCATCCCTCTCTTAAAGGAGCACTCCTCCTGAGAGCACTCTGGGATTTAGGGAGTTTTTTTTTCAGTAGCTGCCTGAAGATGCCCAGGCTGTGCAAAATGCTGCCAGACTTCCTGGTGCAAAGCAAGGAAGACGGAACTCCTTCCCTGCTTCCCCTTGTTATCCCCTGGCTCTCAGTTTGCCCCTGCTGATCCACTGTGGTGGCTGATCTGCTCTGCAGCCTCGCAGGGGAAAGGCACCACTGGGGATGGRTCCCTCTTACCGTAGTGCTTGGCGCTGTTGATGATGCGCACRCCGCTCTCTGGGCTGTTGTTGGAGAGCACCAGGATGTCAAACAGCTCCCTCTCTGCTGGGTTGCTCTCCAGGATCTTCTCATTCACATACTGCACTGCCTGTGAGGAGAAGATGAGACTCTTTTAAAGAGGCGTGACAGTAATGGCTTTGCAGGGCTTTTTTTGCAGTCAAGGTTAGTGGTTTGTGCTGCCTCTGTCAGCTGTGGCAAGGCTGGCATGTTATGGAGAGCTAGACACAACAATCATCCTGCAAAAGCCATCRTCAGGAGGGCTGAGAATGGGATACCTCACCAGGGGGGGAGGTGGACTGGTGAGGAGCACAGGTCTTGATGCCCTGCAATGAGGCAAAGAGATCAGGAAAGGCATAACTGCACCCAGTGATGGGAGTTGAGACAAAACTGGGAAAGCTGAGCTTTCACCCCATCCTGCGAGTGTCTGGATGTGCCCCTAACCAGGCGTGGGGCTCTCACCTGGATGAAGGCAAAGGCTGTGCCTGGTGGCAGGGGCTTGTCCTGGTTGGCCAACTGGTGCCTTGTGTACTCCTCCTTGCCCTTCTCCAGGTAGAGCTTGTGTTCCTCCTCCAGGTTGAAGATGGCTCTGGTGGTCACAGCAATGACCAGTGCCTCGCTGGGGTCTTTCTGCAGGACACAGAGGAAAAAGGAGTCAGGGGACAGCAGARAAGGAGCTCGTGGAGGTGGGGTGAGCAGGGGGCACCAATCCAAGTGGTGGAGTTGGGTGCTGGAGGTATCAGCTATGTGTCACAGTTCCTGATGCCAGAGGTACCACACCCAGTCTTCATCTGCAGGCCACCAAGGATGGGGCTGGCAGTTGTGAAACCCAGCCTGATATACCCAGTGTGAAATACCTGTCTGATAAGTGCCACATGCTCCAAGGACAGCTCACACAGAGGGAATTGCTTCATAATTTTGTTGTTTGTGGGCAAAGCAYAGTCATCTGTTTGTGCTGAGCTGGGTATTGCTGGGTTTCTCTGCACATASTGGCGGCTTTTCCCTTTGTTTGTGTCTGTTCTGGACAGTCAAATAGTCTCTGTGTATGTAGAGAAAATGCTGCTTTCTCTCTGGCTGCTCCAAAGTTTAAGTGTGAGCAAATATGCCTGCCCTGTCCATGCTACTGGAAATCACATGGACCTCACTGGGACCAGGTGTCCAGCAGCCCTGGGACAGGCCACTTCTGCTGAAACCAGGTATGAGCAATTCAGGCCACCACAGTTGTGGGTCGTGGTGTGTTCTCTCCTGAGGCAGCATTTCAAAAATTGGTCTGGAAACACAGGGTGTATGTTTTCTAATGAACAGCCTTTTACCTGTTTGACATTGGTGTTTATGACCGTGCTTTCAGGCTCTGCCATCTTCAACTCTCAGCCTTTAAGAGAAAATATAAAATTTAACTGACGGATAATGATATAGTCAATCTAGAGAGGGGGAGGAGTGGAAAGGAGATAGGAAACATCCTACACACCAAGTACAGCAGTCCAAATGAAGCTATTTCTGCTGACAGCAGCTCTGCTCTGAGAAAAACTGTTCTAATAGTTCCAATTAAATATGATGGAAAAGTAACTTTTTAAACACCGATTGCTGCTTTTATTTTTACTTTTGTTTTTCTCAAAGAGTATTCTTCTCTGTGTAGAACTGCTGAAGGCTGCTGTGGAGCTCTTTTCCAAGAGAAATAAGGTCTTTAAAAGCCAAAATAGGTTAGRTCTTATAGGTAGGTTTCTAGTTCACMCCCTTGTTGCCTTTTTTGCTACTTTTGCTTGAATGGTGAATTTGTATCTACAAATGAAGGAGTTSACTGCATCASCAGCTCATTTGMAGCKGTAAAAGGCYSGAGCARGTAGAYATGTGCGGAGAGGGCTTGGATACAGGCTGGAACCCCCCAGATGAGGCTGATCTGCCCCTCCCCTGCCCTATAAGCCAGTCAGGCCCTACCTGATTACTGTGCGGGGKGGCTGTGCAAGCACAGATCAAAGCCAGCATGCAGTGTAAAAGGACAAGTCAGGGTCTCCAGAGAGATCTTTCTTTTGCCCCAGTTTTCTTTAATTACTGTTTATTGTTTAGGGACTGCACAGTGTTGCCTGGGTCGGTAGGCAGTACACTTGGCTGATGCCAGCCCCGAGAGCCAGAGCCTTGCCACGGGGGCTCAGTGCTTCCTGTGCACTCCASGACGAGTAGAAAGTCCTGCAGCAGGGCTACTCCTACTCCCCCAGCCAGGGGTACCCGGCAAGCCAGGAGACACTGAGCATAATCTGCTTTCTCCACCCCATGCCCCACGCTGGGAAGGGGTGTCCTCCCAGAGAGCAGGGCAGAGGGTGGCAAACACCAGCCCAGCCGTGCAGGCAGCTCTCCTCCGGCAGAATCGCAGCCAAGTATTTTCTGAAAGTCAAAATTAAGTGTTAGGAGACAACGGAGCCGAGCAGCCCTTCCTGGTGGGACAATCCACCTCTAATTTCTGCTCTGCTCTTCCAAGCGCTGCAAACCAAGCCCGACTTCTCCTTTCCATCTCCCTGCCCCAAATACAGACACAGACACACTTCTCGCTGCGAGACCCCAGGAAAACTCTCCAGGCGGGTGCTGCYGGTCCCCGCAGCTCTTCCTACCTCTGGAGCAGGGAGCAGATGTTACCCCCTGCACACAGACAGGGTTCTGCCAGAGAGAAAAGCCCAAACTCACCCCGAGCGCTGCCTCAGCTCCCCGGCACAGCCCGTCCGGCRGCAGCATCCCAACTGTGCCCAAGGCGCTGCTGTTTATATTTCCCCCTATCCGCGCTGGCAGGAAGCAGCAGGAGCGGGATGGGTGCAGCTCCGCTCCCCGGCCTGCTGGGATTTGTAGGCGGTGACATGGTTGGCACCGTGCCCGGGCCAGACTGCATTTCCCAGCTGGCAGTGCACAGGATCGTGGTCACCCGGGCCTGGCTCGGACACAGCCGCGGTCATCCTGGGGAGGGGACTCAGCGCTGTTGGTGCTTCCGGAGCTCCCTCGGAGCTTGTGCTTGGTGGCCGATCGCTGCCCACAAGTGGTGCTGTGATGTCTCATTTGAGCAGCCGGAGTATTTCTAGCGTGCCTCTAGTCCTCTTATTTCCCAGCACCTGAATGGTTGTAGTTTTGACCGAAAAAGCAGGGGTACCTGGTCCAGAGTGACTCGCAGCATATGCCTGAATGCAGGGAGCAAAGGCAGGTGCAGAGCGTGGCTTGGTGCAGCACATTTGCAAATTTACTGTAATACTTTTGGGTGTCTTTTCCCTTCTTTTCTGAAAGCCATCTCTCACATGCTGTCCTGAGCGGGGTTGATTCTGGKGCTAGCATTTTGCTTGTCTGAGTAGGCTGTGTAGCACCCAACCCCGTGGGGCTCATGGTGTCAGGATATTTCAACACCCACTTTCTGTCCAAGAGTGCAATTGGCAGGGATGTCCGGGGGAGAGGATGACAGGAGGGGGTCTAACACAGGGGACCATCCTGCAGATTTTCTCTTGCCCACTGCTGGAACAAGGTCCACTGCAGCAGACTGCACAGCTTGGCTTGTGCCAAAGGAGACCAAACCCACCTGCACTAAGACCGAGTAGTTGTCCCCCTGCACAGCACCAGACTATCACCAGCATCACCAGATCTTTTACAAAACATGGGAGGCCATCAGGGTCCTGTGCAGCTTGGTTTCRCTGAGATCATAGAATCATGGAATGGTTTGGGGTTGGAAGGGACCTTAAAGATCATCTAGGTCTAAYCTCTTCCACCACRGGCAGGGATGCCATGCACCAGGTTGCTCAGGCCCCGCTTCAGCTTGGCCTTGAACTCTTTCAGGATGAGGCCACAATTTTTCTGGGCAACCTGTTCCGGTGCCTCATTATCATCTGAGTAAAAAATGTTTTCCGAAGATCTAAATCTCYCCTCTTTTAGCTGTYRCTACCAACAKAACATTGAAAAGGCTACTTAYGTGCATAYGCAGACCCCCACCCCCAYCCCCCRGATGCTTTCAATATTCCCTATTCCCCCATCCCCAYRAWGCATTTCTCSKGTGCATCCTTTGGCACTGCCASTTTAGAGCAAAAAGTTCCCCCAGARGTTTGCTGCAGCATCATTCCTGCAGCATAATTCCTGCATCTGCTGCTCCTGGAGATGATGTGTCTCTGAGCAGCARGAGTGCAGGACCCTTATGAAGAGTTGTTTGGGTGGCTGTGGGGCAGCCCCGGCCCCTCTCCCATGGCTAGGCACACGGTATGGCAACGCCTTGGTGGCCATGTGAAAATCTGGAAGGACTGGTGAGCCAAGGTGCTGGGGCAGAACTGGAACAGGTCTGGTTTCCAGGCCATCTCCTCCCATGCCTACATCAGCCATTAGGCRCTGTCAGTTTTGCAGTATTGCTCCCTGCTTCTGACACCACCCCAAATTTACGCGGTGATAAGGCAGGTTTTGGGCGGACTTTGCTGAACTGGCAGCAAGGGAAGAAGTTTACAAGCATAAATTTAATGCAATGGAAGCCTGTGAAATTGCTCCTGGCTGTGTGCCTGGTGCTTCTGTTGACGCTGGACGATGAAATCACCCAAGCAGTGTCCCCCTGTCCTGCGTGTCCTCCCTGCCGTGTTGGAGTGGAGCATTCCCATTGCCCTCATGCAGTGCACGCCCTGTGGGCCAGCGAGCTGGGCTCCCCAGTGCAGAGCTCACCAGGGATGGATGCAGTGTGCAYCCAGTGCCTGCAGTCCAATATTGCTGCAGGGATAACTTGGAGAAGCGAATTTCCCAGTGCATGGAGCTGGGCAGCAATGCCCTCCAGCTTCTTGCAGGCAGGAGGGCGGGTTTTGCTTCCTGGTCCAGCAGGGAGTTCCCCACTGGCTTTTTGCCTGCATGAACACTGCTTGGGTCAGCGGTGAGGTGGGGCCAGCGGAGCTGCTGGGGCCACCCGGTTCCTGGGCTGGCAAAGTGGACTTTCCTGTTTCGGCTGTGCAGTGCAGCCACCATCCCTTCTGCACCCTCAGCTCCGTGCCCGGTGGGGTCCCATCTCAGCCCACAACATGCCCCTGCCACGGCTGGTGGCTTGAGTGGAGCCTGTGCTGCAGGGAAGGGAGACTGACGCTGGGAAGGATACTCGTGGGTAAGTCTGGATTTTGTGAACCCGGTCAGCACAGGGTGGGAACAAGAATCAGGGTTCCCCCAGCTCCTTCTCCAGGAACATGGATGYTCGATGCTCCCTGCAGACTGCCCTCTGAGACTATGCCTCCTGTCTCAGACCATGGCAGGGCTGTCCACATCGTTCCCCAACGGTGGCTCCGGTCATTTTGCAGGGCTGGGAGAGGTTGGGTTTTTTTAAAAACCAGGGTCAATATTAGACTACTGTGACATAGCCCGTGGGGGGTCTGGCAGGCAAAAAGTACTGACACCTAATTCTGTGCTGGGTGCTCACCTGTGCTGTCCTGTCCACCGTTCACTACATTCCAAAACTGCTGCCTGGCACCTCTTAAATACCTGAGCGGTGCTTCGGGTGTCCAATGACACAGAAGTCCCAGGTGGCCCTGGATAAGTAATTTAACCTGCACCTCACTGTCCCAGCAATGACACCGCAGGGATGACAGCAGTTCCCGCGTCTCTCCAGCCCCATGTCTACATGCAGCAAAGCACACTGCTGGAAAAAGGAAGGGTTCTTGCGGGCTTCACGGGCTCAGCAAACTGAAGTGCAGAGATAGTTTCCTCCTCCTCGGGAAGATCCTCATGCAAGGAGCGCCTTGGGATGGGCACAGCGCGGGTAGAGTGCAGGCAGAGCGAGCTGGAATTGGGACCCGTGAGCAGGGAGCCGCTGGGCAGCCGGGGCAGAGAGACACGTCCCTGCCGGGCTGGGTGTCACCCGTGCCGGGGTGGCTGCAGCCCCGCTCCCCGCGCAGCCCGGCTCCGGGCGCGCCTCTCCTGCTGACGCCAAAGGAATTCGGCTATGAGGAAGCRTTCATGCTAGAATGAGAGGCTTGCCAAGGGGAAAGCAATGCTATAAAACCACCCTGCTTTAAGTTTGAAGCCTTCCCTTAGGCTGTGTCAGCGTTGTCATGTGCGCAGGCCGGGCTCACGGAAAGTTTCTGAGCGGCTGCGACCCCAGCCTGATGGTAGCACTGCCACCGGCAACGACRGCACCAGCCCAGAGCCAACCTTCCTGCTCCACAGCTCTGAGAGAGGAGAGAAAATGGCCAAAAAGGGGTGTTAGCTGATGATGGGTTTTCCCGGAGCTGAGCAAACCCTTCAGCTCAYGCTGCCTGGCCAGGGAGAAGCCAGCACAAAATAGCTCTTGGTTTGTGTCCCCTACAGCCAGGTGATTCCTCTTCTCAAAACGCCTCCTCCCATCTCCCCGATCTCTCCCCTCTCAGCAAACAGACTGCAAGGATGTAAAGGATGAGGCTGTATGTGAGGGGCTGGTTGGCGCAGAGCCCTCCCTGCCAGTGRCTCCCTCCCGCTCTGTTTCACGCCTCATTGTCGATGTGGCCAAGCCCAAACCGCTTACCCTGGGCTCTATCTTTTAATTGTGTTTGCTCTCATTAGAGCCCTGGGCCGCGGGCAGCACGCGTGCTACCGGAAAGGAAATCCCCACCCTGTTAATTTTGCCTGTGCTCCCAGGTCACCCCAGCTTAGCCATGGCAGTGGCAGCCAGGAAAAGCAGGACTACGGCCTCTCCACACACCAGCATCACCACCACGGCTTGGCCGGGCTTCCTGGACAGCTGGCTGAGCCGGATCCCGTGTGAGTACAGCGGCTCTTGCCCTGCTCTCTCAGACAGCGTTAGCTGCTGGGGCTCCTGCACTCTGAGGCTGTGTATTTGCTTCTCCCTCACTTAAAATCCCATTTTCTAGTGGGTTCCATTTGGGTGGGGACACTGCAGTGATACCGTGCTACTTCAGGAGCTGAGGGTATCTTTGCTACCCATTTGGGGAATGGTCTTCCACCACAGCCTCCCTGCATGTGGCCTGTCCAGGATTATAAAGACAATATTGAAAGTACAACTCTTTAATGCTGAAGCACTGTGATGGGGTTTAAATGTGCTCGATACGTTTTGCTTGGTTTTAACTCTTCTGTCTAACTCTGCTCCCAAAACACCGCACCAGTACCCAAATGGGCGCTCATCACCGTGGCTGTGGCAGGGGCCATTCTCCTCCTTCTCTTCCTCATCTGCATCATCAGGTGCTGCTGCAGCAAGAAGAAGCCCAAGAAGAAGGAGAGAATTGGCTTGTGTGCCGTCAGCAACTCCACCACGACCAGCCTTGTGCGTCCTGCCTTCCCCCCAACCCCACCTCCCTCCTCCTCCCTGAGACCTTTGCTGCTGCACTGCCCAGCCCCAGGGATGGTGGGAGCACAGCATGGCAGAGACATGGCTGGACACATCCTGAGAATAGTGTTGCTATCTGCCACAGGTCCAGCCTGAGATGGAGGACCTGGAACGGGGAGTAGAGCAGAAGTGGCGAGGAAAGCTGCAGTACTCCCTGGAGTACATCTTCCGCAAACAGGAGGTGGGGATTCTCACGGCCATGGTGCAGCAGGAAAGCAGCCCTGCTCTTGCATGGTCCCTCCTTGCTGCCCACTGAGGTGGACATTCCCTCTCTGAGCTGCCTGCAGCTGGCCAGCTCTCATGGCTGTGCTGTGGGAAGGCATCCTCATGGCTGCAGTTGCTTCCCACTGAGCCCCCGGCCGCCTGACCCCATCCTCCTCCATCCAGTGACCTTGTGCTCCTCTCCAGCTGAAGGTTGGCGTGAAGCAGGCAGTCGAGCTGAAAGCCATGGACAGCGGGGGCACTTCTGATCCATATGTGATTGTCTACCTAWCGTCTGATGTGAAGAACAGATATGAGACCAAGGTTTACCGCAAGACCCTGAATCCCATCTTCAATGAGAGCTTCACTTTCCAGGTGGGAAACTATAGCTGGTGATGGTTTTTTGGTGCCATCAGGAGTGTTACATAGACACTGCYCCCTKGACAAAAACCTSTCYAGACAGGGAGATTCTTGTGCAACCACGTTTGGGAAGTGTGATAAATAAATATCTTGTAAATAAGATAAATACCTCTTGTTTTATCTGCCAGTCCATCCCATGGGGCAGGGCTGCCACTGAGGAGTGAGTCCAGGCTTTTTGGATCTTCCCCTGCAGGTACCCCAGGCCGAGGTGTCTGAATCCACACTGGTGATGCAGGTCTATGACTTCAACCGCTTTGCCAAGCACGACATCATTGGTGAGGTCCGGCTGCCCCTGGCCAGTGTCAACCTGCAGCATGTCATCGAGCAGTGGAGTGACCTGGCGGTGGCCAGTAAAGTGGAGGTTGGTCCTGGTGGGTGGGRAATTCTGCTGGGAGGGATGTGCTGTTGCTTGGCTTGCCACCACCCCAAGAGGCAAGCCCTTAGGGGCAAGCGTGAGAGTGGGGGAGGCTCCGGAAACCTGGGGTCAGCCTGGTACTCAGYCTCTGCCTGGTACTGATTGCTGGCATCTCCCCATCAGGAAGAGCCTCTGGGTGAGATCTGCTTCTCCCTGCGCTACGTCCCCAGCACTGGCAAGCTGACTGTGCTCATCCTGGAGGCCAGGCAGCTGAAGAGGATGGACTCTCACGGACTCTCAGGTCAGTGGGGGTTGCTTGTGCTCAGACCTTCCTCCTCCTGCCCAGGCCTCAGTGGTGGCATCAAGAGGTGCAAAGCCTTGAAAGCTCTTGGTGTTAACATCTGTTTCCTGGTGCTGTCATCATACTGAGCTCTGGCTGACTCCCAGCCTTCCCCAGCACAGATATTCCATCTTTGGGCAGTGCTGGAGATATCTCCCAGGAGGAGATGTCATGGATGGATTGTACAGGGAGCTTGGCAGGAGGAAGTGAGCTCCRAGGTRGCTGTCTCACCATAAGGAGTRACAAGTGGGATGTCATGGTCTCCTYGGGAATGGCTCAGGAAAGCTGTTTTGTGGCTGAGTTCTTCAGTCAAAAACTRTCACTTGTGCCAGGTGTGTCCTCTCTCTCTTCAGATCCTTTTGTAAAGGTGCATCTCATACTGAACAGGAAGAAATGGAAGAAGAAGAAGACAAGTGTGAAGAAAAACACCTTAAGTCCTTAYTTCAATGAGGTGTTTGTTTTTGAGGTGCCTTTCAGTCAGATCCAGGTGGGTTTCCCTGAACTGCCAGGGCTCAACGGGTTCCCACTGCAGCAAACCCCCTCCCACTGACCCTCTTTCTCATGTGCCCCCCAGAATGTGGACGTGGTCATCTCCGTCTGGGATCAYGACAAAGTGACCAAGAACGAGCCCATCGGCAAACTCTTCCTGGGCTGCCGAGCCACAGGCAACCAGCTGCGGCACTGGTCCGACATGCTGTCCAACCCACGCCGGCCCCTCGCCCAGTGGCACATCCTGCAGCCCCCAGATGTGGTCGACAAAGCCCTGGGACTGAAGTCGCACCTCAAGCTGCCCCTGCACTCCAGATAGTGGGGGTCTCCTTCTCCATCCAGGGAGAAGGATGGCAGGCTTGTGGAGGAGCCAGGGGCTTCTGCTCAGCAAGCTCTAGRCGTGCTGGTCCCAGCTCCTTGTCAGCAAAGAGGGGACTGGGACTCCTTCTGGCCGAGAGATGATCTGGCTGCTGCTGCTGCAGCTCGTGCCCTGTGTAACGCTTGGGGTGGGGCAGCTTGGCAAGGCTGGACTTGGAGCAGAGGGTGCTGGAGGGGATGGCATGGGCACAGGAGCCAGCCCATCCCAACTGCTCGTGGGCTGGGGGGGAAATACACAGAGCTTCAGGYTCATGCTAAAACAGAGTCCATTGACGTTTATAAAGCAGAAGGTTAACGTGCTGATGGCATGGATGGGAAATTACTTTTGTTGTAACTTGGCAAGAAGTGTCTTCTTGGAAAGGCTTTATGTATCTGTGAAGGCTTTTAAACAGGACCAAGGTATCAAAGCATGTAAGAGGTTTGAGGGGAGAGAATGAACACAGGTGGGTGAGAAAGGCRTTGGAGACATAGCACGAGCTCTGCAGGGTGTGCTCTGTGTCCTGTCTAGAGGCTACATGAGAAGCAATGTGGCTTCACACTTAGCCCATTCTCAGCCCACGATGATTTGTGTGTGCTAGAATGTGACAGAGGCTCTGGGACTCTCAGTGACCATCCCCATGGACCACACGGATGAGAACACACAGTGTGACACACACAGTGTCAGCTCCTGCATGGTCCTACAGGAGTGGCACAGCAAGGTGTGCCCCTCTGGCCCCTGGAGGTCCTGCCAGGGTGGAGGGGCTGAGGCTCTCACTTTCATGCTGTGATCACACTACCCTGGTAAAGGCTGGGTTGCAGCCCTCATGTCACTTCTGGGCAGGTTTCATGTTTAATCCGGGAGGTTTTTGTGGCCACATGTCCTGCCCTGCCCTGCTCTCTGGGGCCCTGGGGTGGGGGCTACGTAAGCAAAGATCACTCCTGGAAGGGTGGGGGCACTGGAGTGGTGCCCCTACATGCCCTTGAGTATGCTGCAGTTTGGGTTGAATCCAGAGCACCTTCTCTGAGCCATCTGTAGGAGAAGATCCCTGCATTGGGCTAGAGGAGGAGGGAATTGCTCCTGATCTAAATACATCTGCTACAAAGCAGCCACAGAACACGAGATCTGGGCTCATTCTGTGGAATTTTGGCCCCAAAGACAAAAGTCCTTTTCACCACAGGGAGCTGCAGGCACAGTGCTAATAGCTACTGCCTGGGCTCTGGAGGGGACAGAGTCTGGCACATTAATGAAAAGCCATTAATATTAAAAAGCAGTTAATCTGTGATTACCCAGAGCTCCACAGAGCGACTATCCAAGAGTTAAACACACATGAAGCTGAGGAAGATTATGAAACCTCTCGATAGAGATTAATGACCTGATCTTAACCATAAAAAGCTGCTGCTGTGTCTGCCTCTTGATAAATATTCTCCAGGCTTCGCCGGGGCTGTGAGGAGGGAAGAAATGACAGGGTGGTTTTGAGATGACTGTAACAAGTGAAGTGTGGCTTCTGCTGGGGAAACAGCATCTGCTGGCAGYTGCTAATGAGATGGAGGAGGAAATCAGTCACCTGAGAAAGACTTGTAAAGGGATGTTTTAAAGCCTTGGCCTTCAGTCTCAACCTTAGAATCGGCCTAGAACAGGCTGTGCAGAAGGGAATATTTCTGAATTTGGTTTGGGGTTTTAAATCTATTGCCGGGTTGGTTTTTGGTGATGCTATCATGGTGATTTAGGGCCCTGCAGCATCCAGAAGGCTTCTGGAGGTATTTGGAACTGGCGTTTCTTATTTGTATGTACATGTGTATGTGTGCTTTTTCCAGTACTTCTATTTTGAAGTCATAGCCTTGAGGTTCACTRCATAATTTATAGAGCTTGCCATGAGATGGAGGGGCATATTAGTCCCAAAACAGAGGCAGTTGAAGAAGGTGCAGAGGCAGCCCCTCCTTGAGAAACATCACCCCCACACCAGTTCCTSCCCCTTCTCTCTCCAGCTCTGGCCCTGCTCAGTGCCTGGCTGAGCAGAGCTGGTGAGGGAAAGCCGATGGTGCTTTTTGGGGGAASGCCAGGGAATGTGGGAGCGAGCACCCAGCTGGGCTGGCTCTGGGCAGCCTGGGGTGAGCCTTTGTGCAGTAAAACTCAGCAAACCGAGCTGTTTGTTCAGCAGGGAGAGGCGAGCAGGTGGGGATGTTCCCCACCCAGCCCCAGTTTTTAATGCACCGCCAAGGCTGCTTTTTCCCTCTGTCATCGTTTCTCCTTCTCAACAAGCCTTGTGTGCTTACAGCGTGGCTTTCAGCACTCCCCTCCTCTGGCAGGATCCTCTTAGTATGTGCTGGCAGCTGTTTGAAGCAGGGCTGGTGGATCTGGGCTTCATTTCATGCCTTATTTCACCCCAAATGAGCACAGCCTACTCGGGAGCCTGTTTGCAGGAAGGCAGACAGCCCTGTCTCGTGTTCAAACCATCTCCTTTTCACCTCCGTGTGCCCTTGGCRGGGGTGGTTGTCCCTCATCCATCAAATTCAGATGTTTGAGCATCTTCCGCCTCACCAATGCTCCTTCTGCAYTTGGAGGGTGGAAGATGCAAAAAGAGAAGGAAAAGAGGGGGGAAAACAACTCCCCCCTAACTTGTGTCTGTGCTGGATTCCCGTGCCTGCATCTAGAGGGCAGGGCAGGTACGTGCTCTGAGCTGGGTCTCCGTGTCCTCTGAGCCTCACCAGCCAAGATTTCTTCTTCTGGAGACACAGCCCGTGTGTGAGAGGGGGAGAAAGCAGCGATGCAGTGCAAGCCCGTTCCCARGGCTGCAGAGCCAGCTGGTAGCCGTGTGGCAATGATGGAGGGTCTGAGTGGCTTTTTCCAGGAGGTCGGAGCCAGCCCRTGCCTGATCCTGCACCACAGGAGCAAAGAGGGTTTTGCTGGTGGGTTAAAGCAGGAATCCAAAGCCATCCAAGGTGCCCAGGTGGTGTATGCGGAGTTTGGTTCTCTTTTTTTAACTGAAAACTTTGCAGATTGGTGGCAAGGCAAAAAGCAGGGCTTGGGTGAGCGGAGGTCTGTTAAAACAGACAAGAAGCACTGAAAATTGAGGTGTTTGTTTGCTATTAATATTTATAATCTCAATTATTTACATCTAGATCCAAGGCTTCTGATCTCCAGAAGTATCTCCCAAAGTGAATTATTCCCTCATTCAGTGATTTTTTTGGGTATTTGTGCCTGCACTCAAGGAAATCAAAYGGGAGAGCTGCACAAGGAGAAGGCTGAGCCTCATATGTGCTTGTCACCAGTCGTCTGCAGTGAGACAAAAATGATTATGGGCTGTCATCGTTCGGCCTGGGTATGGGCTGGCTGTCCTCCAGCCACAGAWTTTTTGGCTAGTCTCAGAGTTTTTGAGAGCTGGAGAGCATCTAAGCTCTTCTCACTAGGAGCAAGCATGCCTCCTTTATAAATATTCCTTAGCTAGCATATTTATGTCATGCAATTTTATGGGCGAAATGTCTACTCCTGTCGTGCATGGGTTTATTTTTTAAAAGATCTAGCTCCTGGATCCTTATCCCTAGTTCCCTTTCTCTAGCCCCCTTTTCCTACCCTTTTCTCCCCCTTTCTCCTGCTCCCTTTTCCCAGCCCCTTCCCCCTGGTCTGAATGCTGCTGGAGCTCTTCTGTCTGGGACTGTTCTATCCCAGCTTGGGCTTGTTTTGCTTCTGGAGACAGAAATGTTTYTTGGACCACTTCACATCTCATGTTCCTTGTCCTGCCACAGGCAGGAAGGGAGGAGGGTTTTCCTCGTGGGGGTAGAAACCTCCTGCCCCAAATAGTCCAGTCTGAGAAACAGGAATAACAATGGGTGCCAGAGGTGCTTCCCAAAGTTCCAATTTGAACTTTGTGGGCAGGCCTGGAAAAAACAGACCTCCCATTTATCCATGTTTTGGGTCTAGGCAGGATGGAGCCGAGGGAGAAGCAGCATGAGGATTTCATAGTTTTCATACTCGTGGGCAAAAAGTGCTCCCCAAAGAAGTTTGGCATTCCGGGTGAATGGGTACCCATCAGTGATGACTTTTTGCATGTCAACAAGATGGGAATTTCTCAGCCAGCCTTGCTGACTTCACAGAGTGGTGATGAAACCCCTGCAGGAACTTACTGCCACTCAATTTGAGCAGAAACAAACACCGAGTCCGTTAGCAAGAAGAATTTAACTAAGCTGAAAAGAGGCCTTGACCTGCAAACAGCCCAGCCCCTATCGTGTTTTATATTCTGTGAGCAGYGTCTGGGAGGATGGTGGGTTTGCAAACAAGTGTTTCATCACCCTGCTCATGAACATGGACATTGCAGATGTCCCTGTCTGAGCCTAAAAAGCTCTCTGTGGGAAATAGGCACTTTGAGCTGTGAATCAGTCATTGTTGGCTTGGTAAGGGAAACACTGCCCCTTGAAGAGCTGGTGACGAGCCCAGTGCCTGGGAAAGAGGTGGCTGTCTGGAGGGGAAACCAGCCCAGCTGGCATCTGGTGTTGCCCTGGATCAGAGAGCATTTTTCTCTTTCACGTACAAGTCAGAGAAGTTTAGACATAGAACCCTGAATCCTGGCACAAAGTTTGTCACTTAAGGCAGTCCAGATAAAACACTTGTCTTTGGTGTTCACTCGGGATGTGACAAAGGATGTGTTCGTATTTGCAAAGGCCTCTGCTGAAGGTTTCTCTGCTGAAGGTTTCTCTGCTGAAGGTTTCTCTGCGTTGGATGTACTCATCCCACACCATTCCCAACTTGTGCACACGTGCTAAAATCAGGGCTGCCTTCATAGAGGAAAATTCATGTCTCAAGACACCCTCTGAATTAATCAGTTTTGGGGGTGTCCTTGAGAGATGCTCAGTGGGATTGGGTGTTGACTTTTCCTGGTGCAATCCTCTTGTACTCTGAGCTCACYCGCTCCCTTCCAAGCCTGATTGAGAAGCAGCTCCAGAAGACCTTCRAGAGGCCATCTCCTTGCAAGCTGTCTTGTCTTGGCCTTCTCAGTGTGTGCAGGTAGGTGAGGTTGCCAAGGGTCTTTGCAGCTGACAGCTATTTTTTATTTTGTAAAATGAGGTGTCTGGGGTCACACAGAATTCACTAAAAGCCAGTGTGCTTGAAATGTATAAATGCTGGAGGATCGTTCCTTGCGTGGCTACTGATTTGTAGGGCTGATCTTGGGGGGAAAAGAGCTTTGTGATTTATCAGTTTTTCTTGAGCTCGATGGCTTTTTTTTTTTTTTTTTAACTAACACTATGTTCTTGCTGCTGCTTTGTCTTGGCACAGAGAGCATGAAAGACCTTTTGAGAGCAAAGACGTGTTTCAGCCATACTCATTTGAGCACACAGAGGTCTCAGCTTGTTCTCCAGACATATTCTGTGTCATGTCCTGGCCTTAACCAGGCTTTGAGGATGTGCAGACACTTGAAGGATTGTGATCAGGTGTTGGGTCACTTCAGTAACACTACCCAGGGGCAAGCTGGGTGGGAATTCCAGAGGGATCACCTCCTGGACACACCAACTGCTGAAGGCCTGGGCAYGGAGCAGCGCTGGGCAGAGGTGTTTGCTTTCCAGAGGGCTGCCAGATCAGCCTGGGGTCATGGAGAAAGTGCCACACTGTGGAAGAGTCCAAGGCTTCTGGTCCTGGGCAGAAGTGAGAAAAGCCTCTGAAAGGAGTGAGATTTGTGCCCAGGGCTAGGCTGGGAACCAAGTGATCCTAACCCTGGCTATGAACACGACTATCCATTGCTAAGGACTGAAGCAAAGCCCCTGTCTGCTACCACAGTCACCAGGGGCTTCATCCAGAGGAGTTTTCTGGTTTTTGTCCTTCCCCTGAAGCTGCCCTTCACCCTTTGTGTTTTCATTTTGAAACACTGTCCTTTCTCCAGGCTCCAGCTTGMAGCGAGCTGCAAACTCTTCCAAAAGCCCACACCAAAGAGTGTCCCTTTGGAGTGGAAGGGATCATTAAAATGCCTTGTTTCTCTTCAAGGCCAGTGTTTATATTGAAAGCAGCCATGTGTGAGTACTTATGCATGTCCAAAGGGAGCTCTGTTCCTGCAGGCACTTGTCCAGATTTGGTGAGAATACAATCATAAAGTGTGTGAAGAGAAGGATGGGGATGTGGTGCCCATCCTGCAGCCAGGATACTCCGATCTCTGATCTCAGCACCATCAGCAGGAGGCAATCACTGCTCCAGCAGGGTTGGTCTGTGTGTCCATGTGAGCCTTTGCAGCAGTTGGTGTCTGTCCCTGGGCAGCAGGCTGGCTGGACATTGGAGCTGGTGCTGTGCAGGTTTCCAGAGCCTCTGGTGTCTCTGAGTGCTGGCCATGTCTCCTGGCTCGTGCAGCTGCAGAGATGAGTTTTGGTGGTCTCACCGGTCCTTTCCTTTGTATTTCTTGGCAGATGGAAGAGGCTGAGAGCAGAGGGGCAGTCCACAAGATGGGGTCCCTGATGCAAGACCACAGATCCAGYCCCACTCCTGCTCCTCCCCTGTCTTCTCCAGCAGACTCCCCTTTGAGGCCAAGCTTTCCCATCACTTGCCCCTGTTTTTCCTGCAGCTGTGGGGCTCTGAGCCCAATTCCAGCCCCCTGCACCACATACCAGGTCCAAGAAATCCCTCAGGGAAGCTGGAAATAAAATCCACATGTCAAGGAGCCCACTGGTCACAAACCTGTGTGTTGCCCCTTCACAGGACCCGTCATCACTCAGATAACTGACTGTACCCACCCTGGGCACATCAATGCCATCRACAGTAGGCACTGAGCTCCGAGCTGATCTCTTTTGCTGTGCTCCATGCCTGGGCTCCAGGAGGTCCAGAATGCCTTCACCTCACTTTGCTGAAGGAAACCCTGGAGAATTTTGAATGGAGAAATSCCCTTGTTTTGATTCCTCCACCAAGAGCTGAGCTGGCTTCTGAAGGATTGWTAGGCCAGCAGTGGCCAGATGTGTAGAAGCAACATTTCAGAGGGACAAATCCCCTGCGGATCCAGCCTTGCCCACTCTAGGAGTGTCTCCCTCTTCCACCTGCTACCATGGCAAACSCCTGCAAGACACCAGCCCCATCCCAAGGATTTGCTCTTCCTTCAGCAGCATCTGCAGCAYTACTTGCAGGGTGCTGAGGGTGGTGAAACAGGAAGCCTGCAGCAAGGGATTTGCCACAATCTATATAATGTCTGGGAGGCGCCTGGAAAATATCATCAGGGCCATGTCTGAATAAGCCTAAAAAACCCAGCTGGAGGAGGAGGGAGCGCCTGGCCTGGGGGAGGAGAGCAGGAGCTGTTTGGGTCCCTGTCTCCATGGGATCCCCKACACACACGCACTACATGTGCTGTGACCAGGGCTGGCAAATATTTCCAGCTAYGTTTCCACCTGCTTCTCCTTCAGATCCATGGAGATACGGGTCTGGGTCATCCCACAGAGGGGATTACCCTTGTTGCTGTCAGCATGGGGCTGCTCCCCCATATTCCATGGCCTATGCCCAGCCCCCGGCTGGATTTGAGCTTTGGGGCCGCCTGCAGAAGCTCCACAGRCTTGTTTTTCAAAAAGACTGAGTTGTGCTGAAATATTTCACACAGGAAAGAGCTGCAAATATTTCCCRTGTGAGGGAAATAAGTGAAGTTAAAAGAGCACGCTTGTGCTGGATGGCTTATTAAGGGATTGCTTTTGCATATGCTGTCAGCTGTAGATTTTTGGGYGGCAAGCTCTTTCCTCTCTTCCTTCCTGAAGGGCAGAGCTGCTCCCAAGCCCTTGGAGGCAAACTGAGTCAGGCCCTTGTCTACGGATAAGCCATTCTGTGTATCCAAAAGGAAATTTTTATTAGAGGCCTTGCAGATGGATGGCTGTGTGCAGGAGGCTGGGCTCCCCATAGATTTGAAGCCGTATCAGTTGTGACTGGTTGGTGGCAGCAGGATGGAGAGGAAGGCTCACTCCTTGGCACTTCTGAGGAAAAACACGTCCCCAGCTGCTCCGGACTCCACGGGTAGAAGATGTTCTCCTCCTCCCCACCCCTCCTTCCCTGGGGGCTGCCCTCTCCTGTTCTCCTGCCGGCCTGGCCTGCCCCAGCCAAGGGAGGTGCACAGGGGACTCTTGCACATCATTGGTCTGAGAAGGTCTCCATGCCCTTAAAGAGAAGGTGCATTTTCTGCTGAGCCACCCGAGACGCCCTTTTATACCTCCTTACTGAGCCAGCTGCCTGTGGCTCGTCTGTCCACCCTGTCCAGCCAGCACGACTCTGATTTTCTCCTCCAGACTCGGGTGAGCCTTTTTGTGTATCTCCTAATGACCCAGCTTGCTCTTGGGGAGTGATGGGGGAGCAGATTTACTTCCCTGAGTATTAGGGAGATAAAAAACCAGGTGGGGGTGACCTGCTGGGAGGAGCAGGGTGGCTGATAAAACTTTCTCCATCATTTGCCTGTTGGAGAGGGTCTGTCCATCAGAAAATCTCCCTCTGTCTGTTCCGGTGACCTGTTTTCCTTTTGGTTTCGTCCTTTCCCCTCCCTTACGCGGTGCTGCTCGCGGCGTGAATGGTGAGGGCGAGCAGAGCCACCGGCTCCCTAGCGCTGACCTCCGCAGGGCCACAGGATTCGGGATCCCTGCCCGCGGTATCTGGGCTGCCCTTCCCGCTTACACCCCTTCCTCCAGCTCCCTCCCGGTGCATTCCTCCCCAAAAACACCCTCGGACAGGCGYCGACATCCAAATTTACGGCGTCCTCCCGGCACAACAGGTGATGGCAGCCCCCGTGGCGGGCAGGGAGCTGCAGCCCGGCGYTGTCGCCTGTGTCGCCCGGCGTGGCCGCGGCCGAAGCGGGAGCGTGTGTCGGTAAAAATAGCCGGCGATCCYGGGCTGCAGCTCCGCCACCTGCGGCCGCCTGTGCCGCGCATCGCTCCGGCCGCCCCGAGTCACGGGGCTGGCACCGGGGAAAGGCTGCCGTCCCAGGAGACAGCTGCAGCTCCTTCTGCAGCTCCCTGGCCATTTTTAGAAGCACTTTTCCCCCCTCCTCTCCGAAGTAATGTGATGGGTCTGCACATTTTCCAGGATAAAGTTTCCTTGGCCCTACAAGCTGTGCCTTCTGCCTCGGGCATGAGCCCCCGTTAACACTTCCCCTCCTGACAGAGCCTCCCAGGGATGCAGACGGCTGTTTTTGGGGCCTCATCTGTTCTGCAGAGGATTGGCTTAGGATATGCAAGCAGCAGATATTGCTCTGCTAGAAAAGTAGATCTCTATTTATGTGGAAATAATTTTCAGCAAAGCAAAGGTGCTCTTTCATCTCTTCCCTAATATGCTGCATTGTAGGTTAAAAATTTCCATTTAAAGCAAATGTATTATTAAAGCAAATTAAAATTTCCATTTAAAGCAAATGTAAGGAATTATCTGGAGAAATTTTCTATGCCTGTATCAACTCAACCACAACTTCCAACCCTTCTCTGTGTCACCTGTGCTGAAGTTGCTGCAACAGGCTCTCCTGTCCCACAGAATGAGTGCGTACACTGGCAGCAGCATCCTCTGAAGTCCTTTCTTGTCACCTGGGGTCAGTGCCAACCCTTTGCAGGCTTTGGGATATTTCTTATTTATGAAGTGAAGTAAGGTTGAATGGCAAAGTARAGCAGTAAACTGAAAACAGCTTTTGCCTTTTCTTCTTTTGTTGAATAAAATTATTTACTGGAGGTCAAACAAGAAACATACCTGCAGGAATCACTGTCACACATCTCTCTTTTTCTGGTTCAGCCCCATTTGGTCTTTTTTCAGAAGTCCCTTGATGYTGAGGTTTGTTTTTGCTATGAGTAGATGTTTGGCTCTCATCTACAAACTGCAGCCTAGTTCCCCATATGATGAAAAGTTGGTGAAGTTGGGAAATAAGAACAGACCTGTTCCTCTTTTTATTTTCTAGCGGTGTCTTGCTTTGTTTTTAAACACCAGAAAGTGACCACAAGCATGAATAATTATGAACTTTTTTCTTGGTTTTCATTTCAGGCTCACAACCATCTAAACCAAGATGTCTGAGTAAGTTCCCATTTTTCTGTCTCTAATACATTGTTGGCATACATAATACATATAAAACCTTTTGTTCAACTGTCAGCTTGTTATGTTGTTAAGATTTTTCTGCATGTTTCCAGTTAGGATGCTAATTAACTGGTTTTTTTTTTCCCCCCCTCTTTCCCCTTTCTCTTCCTTCCTTTTCTTGCCCATCTGCTTTTTCTCCTCTTTCCCCTTTCTCTTCCTTCCTTTTCTTGCCCATCTGCTTTTTCTGAACAGTGAAGAGGTAAGTGTGTTTTGTTGGGGTTTTTCCTTTAGCAATGCTCATGGTAGCAGTCCTGGCTTCACCGTTCCTGCTTAGGAAAATCAGCTGCTGGGGGAGTGTGTGGGAAAAATGGTTCATGGCAAGGCTTTCTTGCCGACTCCTCCTAGTAAACATGGGAAGAAGAAGAAAAATCCCTTTTGAAAGAATTTTCTGCCTTGGCTTGGAGTGAATGCCGTTTTCCCTCCACTCCTGCTTCCCAAGCCGGCCACGAGATGGTGCTGGGAAGGCGGTGGTCCAGAGCCGCCTCTCCTCCATCACCCATCCACCATCCTGCCCTTGCCCCAGCATCCTGTCCTCCTTCCCCACATCTAGCCCTTCATTTTCTACCCACTGAGCACTGACAAATCACTTCTCAAAGGCAATCCAAGGAGATCTGGATCCAGGGGAGTGTGAGCAGGGTGGAGGTTGCATTCTTAGCAAGTTTTCCCTGGTTTCTGGCAGAGCCAGGTGGGGTTGGGGGCGTCTGGTGAAATGCAGGGGAAGGTGTGGGAGGRTTGTTGGTGGCTTTGTCACTCCACATTTCCTCTTAGCAAATTGCTCCATCCTTCATCTCTGCTTGGCATCTCCCCATATGTCTGAAACACCACAAGCTCAAGCTTTGTTCTCACTGAGAGAAAAGAGGATGTCAGGGACACAGAGAAACTCCACAAAATGGTACTGATGTCTAACACATTCTTTGATTCCCCACCAAACCCAGAGCTCCCAGGAAAGGCTGGGAKGACCCTCTTTGCTAAAGTACCAGTTTTCAGATGGAGAATAAGCCTTGGACTAAGAGATCTGATTGTCTGATGGTTTTGTGCTGCATTTCTGAGCTGGGTGCCTTTTCTCTGCAGAGCCCTCCAGCCCTGTCAGGAGGGCCTTGGCACCTTTGCATATGCAAAACATGTCAGATTTTGTTACATTTCACTCTGCACTTACATTTCACATCCTTATCCACTTATTCCTCTACTCAGCACAGACCAACACCCAAGTGCTGCTTTCTGCTCCCCACCCCTCAGCATATCAGATGTGWTTCCCCTGGGCCAGCCCCACTCAGCCTTGAGTGAAATGCCAGGAATCAGCTGAAATGCAGAAGTGGGTTTTTTATAAATAGGCCTTGCTGCTGCTGGTCCAGCATGACAAGTACAGAAGGGCAGCCTGTGGTCATGTCTGCTGTCCTCCAGCTGTGATCCAGCATCACTTGCGCTGGGTCTTTCCAGCTCCAAGAAATTACGCACAAAAAATTCATGTGTTCACCTGCCTGGCTGTTCTTGTCACCAGAGTGTCAGAAGGACATGTGCCCTGGGCTGCTCAGAAAGACATCCCATAGCTCCTGGGTGCCCAGGGACACGGGGGCCATTAGCTTGAGGGCCAAGTAAAACACATCTGAGTGAAGAGGAAATTAGAGAAAAGGCTAGAAGTCCCAATAAGCCAAGCTTGAAGCCGTATTTTATACACACATTTTCAAGTTCATCGCCCTTGTTATCTTTTCCTGGGGAAATTGTAGGTTTTASCTGCCTGAGGTTGGCAAAGCTGGGTTCAGCAGGGAGCATCTTCCTTGAGTGCCGCTGGTTTGGGGACCAACTGTGTGTCAAGCTGTCCATCCTGGCTGGAGCCATGTCCCTGGAAGGGCTGCAAGTCCTTGGTGAACAGTGGCATTGCGTGGGGAAGGGCAATGGAAAGGGGAATGGGCAGCTGATAACCACCTTTTCTCTCGTCTCTCCCACTTGCAGAAAAAGAGGAGGGCAGCCACTGCCCGTCGGCAGCACCTGAAGGTACGTGGCACTGCTGTGGCTGTGTGACGTGTGTCCCGACCTTCCCATCTCCCATCCCAAGCCTCCCACTCCACTCCTTACTGGGTCTTCATCATGTCCCTTGCTTGGAAATGGTGGTACTGATGGGCACTCACCAAGCTGCCTCCCCATCAGGGCTCCTGCTCCATTGATAGCCCCTCTACCCTCCTTCCTTTCTTCCACCCCGCACTGACCCTTCTCCTGCTGCCTTCCAGAGTGCTATGCTCCAGCTTGCTGTCACTGAAATAGAGAAAGAAACAGCTGCTAAAGAAGTGGAAAAGCAAAACTACCTGGCAGAACATTGCCCTCCTCTGTCACTCCCAGGATCCATGCAGGAACTTCAGGTACTGACTTCTTTGATACTTTCAGTGCTGGAGCAGAAAAGATTTGACTCCATCAGTCAGCCTGGTGGATCTATACTGGCCTTCCCATCTTGAGCCTCTTTTCACCTGTGGTGCCCTGGAGCCAGATGGAAATAGAACTGGTTTGAGAGGCAGGTGGGGTCTCTCTGCAGGAAAAAAAAGGGGTCTGGCTGGCAGGAAAGATGTGTTTTAAATGATGTGGTGAGGCAGCATTTTTGTGAAGCCAGTAGCATGGAGATTGGGAGCTGGCTGACAAACCACTCTTCACCTTTTGGTCTCAATCCCACCCAGTCTTCTGGACTGAGGTCTGTCGGAGTGGTCAGGAGAGAGGAATTGTGTGTGTGGGTCCTGGCAGCCAACAACCCTCTCTGCTTTCCCCACAGGAGCTGTGCAAAAAGCTTCATGCTAAGATCGACTCAGTGGATGAGGAGAGGTAYGACACAGAGGTGAAGCTACAGAAGACCAACAAGGAGGTGAGTTTTCCCTGGGAAACCTTSCRGGGAGTCTCCAGCACATTCCTGACRCTTCCCTGCACTGCTTGGGTCCATCTCATGAAACCCATGCCCTGCTCTCTCTCTGCCCCCCTCATCTCATCCCCCCAGCTGGAAGACTTGAGCCAGAAGCTCTTTGACCTGCGTGGCAAGTTCAAGCGGCCGCCGCTGCGCAGGGTGCGCATGTCCGCCGACGCGATGCTGCGGGCCCTGCTGGGCTCCAAGCACAAGGTCTGCATGGACCTCCGAGCCAACCTGAAGCAAGTGAAGAAGGAGGACACTGAGAAGGTACTCCTGCCCTCTTCCCCTTTTCCCTAACAGGAGTTGCCCCCCACTCTTCAGGGCTCACACCTCCCTGTGGTTTGAGAATGACTTTCTCCATAATTTTCTTTTTCCTGCTCAGTGTTTCCCCCTGTGGCACCCATGATGTTGAAACAGTAGGGTGCAGTACAAAAAGATGTATAGCATGGGTGGAACACAGTTCCTCCATCTGACATGGGAGTTTCCATGGGAGGATAGGTGTGGTGCCCTTTCCAGGTGGGTTCTTACCCTGGGGGGCACCACTCACACCAACCATCCCTTCCCCAGGAGAAGGATCTCCGCGATGTCGGTGACTGGAGGAAGAACATTGAGGAGAAGTCTGGCATGGAGGGCAGAAAGAAGATGTTTGAGGCTGGCGAGTCCTAAGCACCCGCGTCTCCACAGCTCTCCTCCTCTCCCCGCTGTCCCCGCTGYGCCGCCGGGCTCAGGGGCGCTGACYGGSTGCCATTTCTCTCTAGTTTTGCCAAGAGCTGCATCGTGGCAGCACTGATGTAAATAAAGCTTTGGTGGGAGAGGTGGTGTTGCCTGCCTGGGTGGCCAGAGCCCGACTCCAGCCATGGTGCCAGCAGGGACTGCCTCACTGTGGGGGTTCTGCTGGGAATGGGGAGGCTTTGGCAGGGGAGATGGGGCACCTGTGTGCTGTTGGTCCCCCTCCAAAGTTGTGGATGCTCATTCCCTTCCACAGTGTGAGGAGACAAGTCGAGAACAGTCCAAGACCCAGGAGGTGATGCAGAATCTCAGCCCATGACAGCATCCGCAGGAAGCTGTGGAGAAGAGCTGAGAGCTGGGGAGAGGGGTAGGATCTGCAGGGCAGAAGCGGAGCCTTCGGCCCCAGGGGGATTTGAGAGGTGTGAAGTCAGAACAACCTCTGCAGCACCTGTGGCAGCACCCTGGACTGGTGCAGGGTAGGGTGCTGTGGTTTAGAGATGATGGCTGCCACCAGAGTGGCATGGGCAGCTGGCAGGGGCAGTGGGTCACTCCTTTCCCTGACATGGTGGGAATATCTATGCCCTCACTTTTCTACTGTGTTAGCCCAGCACTTCCAGATTTCTAGCTGCCAATGACTAAAATCTTAAATCAGTCTCAAAAAAAAACCCTAAACAAAAAAAAGAAAAAACCAACCCAGATTTACCTTCCCCCTACCCTGCCCCATCCCCCCAAACCCTCAGCCCATGACGTTTCCGGCCCAGCTCACTTCTGCTGAGCACAGGAAAAGCRAAACAGCGGTGGCAGCCTGGCGCTGGAGCTGTCCTGGGGCTGCCGTGCCAGGGGAGAAGATGTCAGACTCGGAGGGGTGCCAGGAGGGAGCAGATGGAGTGAGCCAAGTGGGAGAGGAATCCTCTGGGGAGAGTGAGAGGTGAGCCCTGGGGACACCAGAGCTGCCTTCCAGTCCTGGGATACTGGGAGGCTGGGAAATTGGGGGGAGATGGTGGGAAAGGAGGATGCCCAGCCAGAATTATGATGACCCACGAGGCTGGAATGGGTCAGATGTTCCATTAGGCTTTTGACAAGCTTYTCCAGCTAGGAGAGATTTCTTAAAGATCTCATCCCCTTTGGGATGGAGTTGATCGAATGGGGATCCCCAGCTCCAGAAGCAGGCAAGCTCAAGTGAGGGGTCTGGTGACCTGGAGCTGCTCTGCAGCTGAAATCAGCCCCATCTCTAAGACCTCTCTRATGTGGAGATCAGCTGCCTCCTCTCCTTGCTGGGCACATCTGATTTCTTGCTGCATCCCCTGTGTCTCCAGCCGAATTAACCTGGCAATGTTYCAGGCTGGCTGCTGTAGTTATACATCTCTGTGCCTCCGCTCTGCTTTATTGCTTTATCAGCCGAGTCTGTAAAATGTGGGGTCTTCACTCCAATGCAGGGCTTTCCATGGGGTCTAAAAGAAGACAGATCAGCAGCAGAGGCCACATCTGTCAGTGGTGGAGGCAGACAGATAAGCTTGGCCAAAGTGCATCACCCCGAAGTGCTCAGATTTGGACTGGATTCAGGCTGAGCATCCAGGGAGCTTAARGAGGTTGCCTGATTTTTCACCTCCAGCTTCAAAGCTTGCATTAGCATTTCTCCCCAAGGCTTCTGAGAGCCAGCACAGCTAATGTTGACAGGAAAAAAAAACCCTTGAGTGACAATGAGAGGAGAAAGGTGTGTCATCTCCTGTCATCAGGGGTTGCAGTAAGTGCTTGGGCTGACACCTGACAGCAATTAGCCTTGGCTGAAAGTTTGACTGGAGCTTCAAAAGGTGCWGGAAGGCTCCGTGCACGACTCGCTGCTGAAACAAAGGGGAAGCCTTGGCTGCTGGSAGAGCGCAGGGCTTTCCTCAGCCCYRGGATGGATGCAATTCCCAGCATTTCTCCAGCCTGCCCGTGCCTGTGCCGCGGGCTCAGCTCACCTKGCAGCCGCAGGGAGCAGGGACTGTCCGGTGCGTGGCCCAAGGCAGCCAAACCTTCCTGCACCCCGCTGGCTGCAAGAGGAGCAGGCACCCCGGTGCAGGCAGGGCAGACACTGCGGTCTGCTGGTGGAGCTGCGTCWGCTTGTTCCCTTTTCTGGTTCCTCCTGGAGTTTCAGCTAAATGAAATGTGTCTGGAGGAGTCTGTTGTGTAGCACTCAGACCCTTACAGCCTTGTTTAAAAGGAGTGTGAACACTGACAGCAGGGCGGCACATCTCTTCCTCTCTAGCTGTGTGCTAGAATCTTAATGAAATGTGAAACTTGATGGCAAAAATAGCGAGCAAAAAAGAGTTCTTCCTTGTTTCAAAAATGCAAATAATTACTTTYCTTCGCAATTTGTATAATAGTTTCATGTACAGCTTTAAACTTCTCATGCTTTTACTTGTGCTGTTTAAACGCTTGCTAGACTCTGGGGATTTCCACTCCCAAAATGGAGKAAGTAAGTGTTTATTTGCTGTTTGGCTCTACCTTTTCTCACCCTGTGGCTAGCTTAGCTCCCTGATCTCCGCTCCTTGATGAAAAGGCTCTTGCCAAGCTGACCCAYGTATGGATGGAGTCAGGACAATTCTCTTCAGACAGCCTAAAACATGATGGAGGTGAGAACAACCGATTTTGAGATGGAGCTGCCAGGAGAAAAACATGGGTGCTGTGTTTCCCTAAACAGTGAACCTTGTCTATTTAACTGTGCCCAGTGYATATAGAAGAGGAGCTGGCATTAGAAAATCTCCTAGAAATCTAAATTTGAACATAGCTGTTTYCTCCCACAAATTGGGACACAGTGGCAAAGTCCTGCTGATGCTGGTGTAACACTGCTTAAACCAGACCGGTGCTATGCTCTATTCCATGAACTGGAATCGCTGTATGGGCAACTGCTGCGGTGTGAGCCTTCCCAAATGAGCAGGAAGCTGGGGAGAGCTCTGGGGAGGTGGCTGTGCTGAGATTGGCTGTGCTGCCTTGTTGGGCAGAGGCTGAAGCCCAGGGTGTATTGGGTCTGTCGCTCAGAGCTCTCTCCATTAAGCTCTGCAGGTTTCAGGTATCCCTGCCCTTATTCCTACACCCGTGGCCATGCACATCCCTCGGGAAGTGCTCTGTAGGGTATCTGCACCTGGGAGGCAGCACAGCTCATGTGGCRGTTTCTCTTGTCTGTGGGATCTGAGATAAGGTTGGCTTTCCCCAAATTCCCATCTCTTTCCTCCTGGGGCTTCCCACCCCACAAGCAGCAGGGCAGGGAGCCCTCGGCAGCCCATGTATGGTCACTGCCYGGGGACAGGCTCTGCTGTGCCAGCAAGCCCCAGGCTTTTCCTTGCCACGTCCATCCCCAGCTGTCTTGAATTCCCCAGATCCTTGGAGGAGTCTCAAGGGCCTTTGCTGAAATGACTGCTGTTGCTATGTATACCCATGGTGGGAAGGAGGCCTGGGAAAACTGATCCTTGGAGAGTTTTTGGACCCCTCAGCACACCAGATTCCTTGGAGGTGGAAAGGAGGGATGGCTGATCCCTGTTCAGGACTAACTGGTCACAGTTTGACCCAGCTGGGCTCATTAAATTGGAAAAATGGTAGGGAAATTAACAGGGGAGGACCAGATGGATTATTTAATGAAGCTGGGTTACATTTATGGYTTCCAAATTGGATATAGGTGCTCTGGCAGTGGCATTAGGGATAAAGAACTGTCTCTAATTATAGGAGGTATCAGGTGCCTTCACTGTCCTTTTCTCCTTGGGGGAAAAAAAATTAAGCCTGGCTTGCCTTGCCTTGCCACTGAGCTTATTTTGCTGTGTAAAGCTATGGGTTTGGAGAAGCGTATTAAAGCAAGGGATTGCCCAGCAGCCTTCATTTGAATTGCATTTTTCTTTCTAAAACACAGAAGGCTCTCTGCTGGCCGGAAGGCTGGATTTTTTAAAACTCTTGGTGTGAAGTCTGGCTCTGAAGCTTGTGGGAATCCCTTGCCCCTGGATTTTCTAAGGTGAACTCACTTCAGAGGGTTTAGGGCTTTCCCCAAATCTGAAAACCCTGTGGTAACTGGAAGGGCTGTCTGTGCAGCAGGGAAGTGCTTAACCTTGGTGTGCCCTGGGGATCCTGGGCCCCTCTGCTCTGACCCTCACTGACCTTGCTAATCCAGCCCTGACCGATGCTCTGCCTGCATCCCCYTTTGCATCCTTCACCCCTGTGACCCCACTGTGGGGTCTGCCTGGGGGCTGAGCTGACTCCTTGCTGCCCTGCTGCTCTCCCCAGAGCTGGGCTGGCTCCCAGCTAAACATTCATCCAGCCTGGCTGTTGCCTCTGCCAAGTCATGGACTCACACCTGGCCAGGAGGTGTTTGAGACTTCATGGGTGCCATGTTTTTATTTGGAACTGCTTTTTCTTTGAGGTGGGCRAGAATCCTGGCTCAAATAAAGTTGTTGCCCAGGCTCCAGGAGGCATTGGTGTGACCACCAGGCTCCTGAGAGTGCAATCTGGCACTGACTGACTGCAGACCTGCAGTGGTGCTCAGGGGCTCAGAGGGAACGCCGGGATTTGGTGTTCTCCCTTCATCCTCCCTGTGAAGCCCTCCTGTTCCYTTCATACAAATCCAATGAACTCCTCCTCAGGCTGACTCTCTGCGCTCCTTGAGGAGCTACTTTGGCACCCTTTGAAGCCAAATGCCCAGGAATGGATCTTCATGGTGCAGTTCTGTTCTAAAGCCTTTCACGAGGAGAAGCCCTGGGGATGTACATCAATGAAAGAAAGACACAGGGGTGTATGACAGGGGCTCTGGACTCTTCATTCGGGTCATGTTCTATACCATGGCCATCTGCTGTGGGTCAAAATATATGTCCTAGGAGGTGCTGCCCATTCTGGGAAAGCAGCTGTCCTGCATGACATGAATTTGTTATGATGGGTACCAGAGGAGCACCCACARTGCCCAGACAAGGTCAGGGTGTCACCACGTAGGTACTCTGTCTCTGTGCCCGTGGCTACAGCCTCAGGGAAAGGAGGACAGGTTATCTCTACTGCAAGGCCAGGCAGCTGAGAGTGAGATATTTAGGAAGTGGAGGGATGCCCTAACTGTAGAACTTG